TAAGAGGCCGTAATTATGGTGATTAGTGCTTATTTAGCGTGGCATAATTGTAATAATGGGTGGAAAGCTGGTGGGATGCCCATTCTTCCTGTTTTGGCTACAGGCCGTTCAGTTAGTTCCAACTGTATACGTCCATGTCACAATCCCATTAAAAGGACTCAGCCAGCTCATCTGCGCACCCCCACTCAAACATCCTCTGAAGCACAACACATGCAGTTAATGCTGACATTAATATCAGTACAGAGCTGAAAACAACTGCTGCACTGATACCGAGGCAATCTGTTGCACATATGTAATGACCATCATGCTGTTTCCATCAGGAGAAAAAGCAAAAAATAACACTTTAGATGAGATTTTTTTTTTTTTTAAAGAAGCCGTGTCCTTTCTCCTGCCGTTTTCACTTTCTCTCTCTGCTTCAGCTCTGCTACTTTCACCCATCTGAGGCAGCAAAGTTCTGTGATTGATGACAGTTTCTTCTGTTCATGCAGAATAGTTTCAGCCCTGTATCTAATTCTAGCTCCTCTTTCCCCCGACTGCCATGAAGTTTGTGTTACAGCCAATTTCATCTCTCACAGCCATTACAGAAAACGACAGAAAAAGCCTGAAAAACACAGAAACACACATTGTTCTGTGTTTACATCTGACCGTGTGAGATAATTCATCTTCCACCTTTCTAACAGACGGGTCTTTGGATTCCTTTTCACTTGTCGACATATGATTTCAATTAACACATGGACGACGGGGGACTGTTCAACAGCAATCTGCAGTCTTATGTTTTTTCAGGCTGCGTTCACTGCCACAGTGTTACATTGTTATATACACAAATACGCTGGCTTTATTGTGAAACTGATTCAAAATCTTTGATTGTGTTTTCACAAAAAATCATTTTCACTGTGTTTGTACAGCAAGTACTGTTACACTTTGTACTCTTGTGTTGCCTGTGTGTGTGTGTGTGTGTGTGTGTGTGTGTGTGTGTGTAGGAGTGGGTGGGTGTACTGCAAGGAAGTTACCTGCATCTCTTTCACCCTGACAAGACTGGAGGCAGATCTCTGTTGAACTGAGGACTTCTCAAATGTGTGTCCTGTGGAAAACCAGGCAAACAATATATGCATACAGTAGATATTTGTATAATGAGTTATTAAAATACTAATGTCAAGCACATTAGCAGTTATTGTTAATTTCGATAAATGATCAAAACATGTTTTTTCTGATGTCTATGTCTGAACAAAAAAAACCCAACAAAAACACATCACTCTCTGGGTGTCCAGTGTGTGCAGGTGGTTGATGCACAGTGTCGTATTAGAATTTTGGTTTTGGCATCTTGACCCCAGGCAGGAATATATATGCTAATGCTCGATCCTGGTCGACACCACATACACTGCCTCCTGCAGCAGCTCCGCCTTTGCCAACATTAGTGCATTTGAGACAGGAAGTAAGAGAAAGCGGGAGAGATTTCCAAACAGCGTGGTTTTACAATTCGTTTATGTAAGACATGACTCAACTCTGCTACAATTATTTGAACCACTGGAGCAGCCCAGAATATGTCCTGTGTTCCTTTGGCTTCTTATGTAAATAAATTGTTCTTGATTTAATCTTAAAAATGTGATCTTGATGTAGATTTGTCCAAGATTACATTTCACAAGTCTAGTGTCTTTTTGTCTTATTTATTTGATTCGGCATAAACACATTCTCCACTGGAAATGTTTAAGTATTACTCCAAACTATGTCAGTTGCTGTATGTTCCCACTTACGCTGGCAACACTGACGCTCTTGATGATGCCAGAAAAACATGTTGAGTTGATATTTTAATTTGAAAAAGACAGAGGTGAATACAAACACGTGAAGCTGAAGAGGGAGATTGTGGGAAAGAAATTTATGAGTGAAATGTCTCAGGAAAATGTGCCATATAAAGAGAAACAAGCAATAGAGAAAAGCTGAGAATGTGCTAAAGCTCAGTACCTGTTTGGATCTGTAACTGCCACCGCTAAGACCTAAAGGTATGTGTTTAAAACAAAACACGTGTGAAAGAAAGTGAGATGTTTCATCTGGTTGGGAGGATTTCTAGGAGACAGCAGACCTGACAGATCACAGACTCTCCTGGAGAATCTGATATAATGTAAATATCATGTCTTGTCTGCTAAGTACTTTTAGTGAGACCCTGCTGTCCTTGTCCAAACGTCTAACATGAAGTGCAGACCGCTACTGCCCCCCTAGACCATGAAGAGATACAGCAGCCAGATTACACTATCCTGTTCTTTGAGTCCTCCTCTTGCTGTCTCTCTGGTAACCTACACTTCAGTAGGACATAAGATCAACACAGGGTTTGTCCTTGTGTTCAGATGGGAACAGAACACTTGGTTCAACTCACCCAAGCAGAGGCTCGGTTGCAATTAACCACCCTGTGAAACGATCATCACCAACACACCCTAACACATACTCACACGCAGGCTTTACAACACTTACCAGCAGCGTTGGAGTCCACCTGTTATTGTTAAGTGATGAGCACTTCAGAGGGAGCCTTCACCAGCTGTGCTCAGGCACTGTGATTTTCTTTAAATGTATGAGTGAGACAGAGAAGTGGTGAAAATGAACTAAGACCAAACCAATCAAGCTTAGAGACCAGTGACATTTGCTCTGGGATGTTTTGTGATATTGTTTTTTTGTGCTGGTGCTCAGCTCTGCTCTCTGGTAACAGGAGATAAGGATGAGGGGCTGAGTCAAGTATGACACATATGACTCCAGGAAACCCACAACATCACCAGACTGGTCCCACGATGCTCCCTGAACGCACATGTAAAGCCCACACGGACTCAGCTATAACCCTTTGGCACAATTCAGTACCTGAACTTTAGTATCAGGTCCCCGGTTTTATCTCTATACACTGCTGTTGAGAACACCTGGAGGCATCTGAGTAAAGAGCCTTCAACTGGAAGAGTCACTGTTCCCTCATGATATCAAAAACTCCAGGAGATCCTCCCCTCCTGGTCAGCGTCAAATCCACGACACATCAGAGAACTTATAAATGAATCCCTGAAATACAGGCTGATGTTTGACACACGTTGCATCGCACTTACATCGCACAGAAAAATATTTCCTGACTGGTGAGTAAGAACAATACTATTTCAATTTTTACCAAGCTCCACAGGTCAGTTTCTGATTAAAGCATTTCAGTCGATACATGTCCTTATATTGATCGTATTTACTGAGATTTATACAATTAGTTCAGCTTATTAACCTGGAAAAGTTGTTAACTCAATTTGTGGATGTGAATGAATTGAATTTAGGTGGGTTTCCCTTCTCTTCACATCTGTAACTCCAAAATCAGGATGTGACTGCAAACATTTTAAACTCTCATTGAAGTGTAATAACTATATTCAATAGGAAATCAATAGTATTGGAGAATTATGAATATTCTTCTTGCTCATTTGAAAACCTGAGTAAAAACATCTGTAGTGTAATTTGAAATATTTTATGGAAGCTGTAACGACAGTGATACAGGATAATACTTCTTATCATTAATTAAACTACTGAATGATTTTTAATCAAATGCAAAAAAACGTTTACAGAGCAGGAAAAGTATATATAAATATAAATATATACATGGAATAAATGCCTTTAACAACAGGAACCAAGTAATATATATATTACAATGATTAATCAATTGACAAGTTGCTATAAACAGTTTCCACTTCAGTGGTATGAACTTAGCTTTGAATATTTTTCAGAATATATGTAAAACAGTTAATACTGTAGGGTATTCAGCACCTAATTAAATGCTCCAAAAACATTTTTTTTAATATTCTGCATTGTTTATTTCATTTTCAGTAGATAGGCCTGAAGAAAAACACAATTGATTAAGTCTGTCATCTCCAAGGAGAAGCGTCTTTGGCAAAGAGCTTCACCTCTCCATCAGTGTGATTAGTCCCATAGGAGTGTGCGTGTGTGGCCCGAGGTGGAGCCGGCAGCAGAGGGAGGTGAGAAACACCATCCACCGAGGGAGCGCAGGGAACAAAGGTCCATGTTAGACCAGAATAGGCCCGTTGATGGTTGTACAAGGAACGATCACAGCCCCTGGCTTCAACAGTCCATACAGCGGAGGGAGGGCTCAGGTGTACTCCATGTGAGGACTCTCACATTTTCAAAGAGGTCATGCAAATCAACGTGACTCGGCCTTTGTACGTAGTCCTCGAGCCGTGAACAAAACCTGACTGACATTTCGGCCCAGTATTAAAAAGAAAAAAGAAAAAAGAAGGCTTCTATTTATGGTCCTCTCGTGGGGGGCAAAGACACAGAGCTCAAGGCCCAGGACACCTGTAATGGTTTGCTTCATGTCTGACTCCAGTTATTATTCCATCAATCCAGCCAGTATTAGATTTATTTTCCACGTTATCTTCCTTTCCTGGTCAGAAATTAGCTTTAGGAATAGCTAAGTGCCAGAATGAGGCTATGAAGAACTCCAGGAAATGACCAAATTTCCACTGCCCTCACTAACAATGAGTGTTAAGCAGTTGTCTACGTGCAGAATATGAACTTTGCCATTTTAATTTGGCAATAGCTGCCTTTTTATCCTGCTGTGAAAAGGGTGGCGCTTTTATCACGAGTCCCTTAAGTGAGTTAGATGTCCCTACACGTGGGGAGTCATGGTTCTCGGAGGAGAGTCCAAGCAGACACAATAACAAGATAACAGCCTGAGGAGAGGCCCTGACGCTGTTTGTAACGTGTCTGTGCTCTCTGGGAACTGTCTCGCTTTACTTTGCAACTCTTCTGCGGATAAACTTCTCAGCAGAGGATTCTAATGAACAACAGTGTTTTTGACATGACACAGACTGTATAATTTGTACTGAGTGAGAAAGACTAAGTAGAAGTGCCCTTGATAAACACCTGCCTTTAATGGACATCTGTATTATTTGACATTGAGTGAGTGACTGAGTGATGTCCAGAATGTTTTTTCAATCCTATTCTTGTCCTTCTCCCATCAGACTCCACGTGTTTGTAGAAAGATGGAGAGAAATGTATCTTCACCATTCGTCACGACCTCTCTCCCGACTCGACTCCCCTTAAATACCACGGGTGACATCAATGCCACGGCAAAACCCTTCAGTGTGTTTGATGGGTGCGATCATCAGGTGGAGGGCATTCTGTTTGACCTGACCCTGCAGTGCATCAACGTACTTGTGGGAATCCCTGCCAACTTACTTGTCATTGCGGTCCTCATCCGCAATCGCAAAGAGCCCTCCACCTCAGACATATTCCTGGGCTGTCTGGCCTTCATGGATGCCTACTTCAGTGCCATTCCCCCCATCATCCTCCTTAACCTTTACCACTGGCAGAGCAAAGGGGTGTGGTCTGCCATTAAGTTCTCCTACGGTGTGAAAGACACCAGCGGCCCGCTGTTTCTCTCCTGCATCTGCCTGGATCGCTTTGTGGCTGTGCTCTTTCCAATACTGTTTGGGCAGCTTAAACACATTAAGTACAGGTTAAGCCTCTCAGTGCTAGTATTCTGCCTCACCTTTGCCTATTCTGCAGCCAAGACGGTGGGAGGCCTCCCCAACTTTGAGAAGGTATTCACCGGTGAGATCCTGGCAACATTTACTTGGATGGTTGTGTGCAACGGAAGCATCCTGTGGGCCCTGAAGAGGTCCCGTGGGGCAGGGAAAGATGAGATGCACCCCATGAAGAAGAAGGCCTTCAAGATGGTGCTCTCCATCCTTTGTATCATTGTGTTTAACTACCTGCCACCTGTGGCGCTGTTCCCTTTTGAGGACATTTACTCCCCCGATGTGTTTCGCTGCTATGTGCAGCCTGTTGGCTTCGCCTTCCTCAACATCAGCAGCACGATCCAGCCACTGGTTTACCTGTCTCGCCTGGAGAAGCTGCCTTTCCTCTCAGATGCCTGTGTTCAGAAGTGCTGCTGCTGCTGTGTCTCTGCAGAGAACAAAACAAACAAAACCCCAACTGCACAAAACTAAAATGTTTGAGATTTACATAAGAATGTCATAAATATAATGAGCCTAAAATTTGTCTCTAAAGAGGAGCTGAATACTGTAACTAGAACTGTGAATTCATGCTCATTCATGCTTTATGCTTGTTTTGTTGCTGGAAATGAATAATGAGGAAACAAGTGGAAAAATCTAAATGTAATTTTAAGTTTCATTTCATTTCATTTTGAATTTCATTTCATGATTTGATTAACTAATTTTACTTGAATTTTTTTTTACTACTAATACAATAAGATGCATTTTCCAAAGCACTTGTCTCCACTATAATGAAATCCTTCAAAATATTTGTTTGGCTTTGGCGCCATCATGTGTACAAAATAAATAAACAGCATCACACATAAAACCCTGAGTTCCATTTTTGACCAGTGGATTGTTACTTCACTCTATGAGTTAAACATCAGTTACCACACAACTACACAACGTGCGTGTGTGTGTGTGTGTGTGTGTGTGTGTGTGTGTCTGTCATGTATATTTCTTAAGGTGCATGGTGCTGGATGTCATCAAAAGGAAAAATCTAATCTATTCAGTCTCACCTCTGGACTGATCTAAACTTCTTGATATGTGTCCTCTCCTCTTTTCTACAACAGAGACAGTGCATGTTTGGCCACATATATTATCAATTTAGGAACCATTCCTAAATCTTATGTCAATTTTATTGATGAGGCATGTAGGCTGAATTAATTGGAGGAGCCATATTGGTAACTCATACTGTCCACAGTAGTTCAGTTTATTTTATTCAGAGATGCAAAGATGTGAACATTTCTGTTAAATAACTCTTCATTTTGGGATATATGTGTATTAGATTTTTTGCCAAGAGTTAGATGAGAAGATCGATATATCACTTTTTCTAGAGATAGAGTTAGAGCCGGCAGCCAGTTAGCTTAGCTTAGCATAAAAATTGGAAACTGGGGGGAAACAGATAACACTAAGTCCAATTCCATCACCTCTAAAGCTCAACTCATGAACATGTCATATCTCAGTTGAAGTGCAAAAAACAACATTTTGCCATTTTGCAAGGGGGGTTATGTGCTGGACATGTTGCAAGGCATCCAGCAGAGACGCCAGGAAGTTACTAAACCCAATCAGTTACCCCTGTAAAACAGTGAAATGTTATATTTCACACTCAAGTTTTTGCACCCATAAACAAACTTGAATTAGGCAACTTTCGCCCCTGGAAAGAGCCCGGCGAGCTGTTTCCAAAATGTTAACTATTCCTCTGAGAAGAGTTGACAAACACAAATGTCTTTATAGCAGCAAAACGACTAAAATGAAGAATATTTACCATCTGTGAGAGACATTAACATTACACTTGATTTCATTTATCAAAACAGGACTTAAATGGTATCTTTTTTAACATAATCAATTAAACGTTCACCCAGTTATTGACGCAACATAGTGACAATTACCTTCTCTGGCATTATTCTCAGTGGATGGCTGCTCTGTGTGTAAAAGTATGGAAGTAACATTTCTGTGAATGAGTGTGTAAATGCACAAATGACTGAGTTGTCAGCGGGGTCAAAAAAGGACACTGTCCCTTTGTTGTAATCCAGTTGCACTTTGATTTGTTTGGGCGTTCTTGAAAGTGTCAGTGGGGTGGGTGGGGAGGTCATTGCCCTGAACTCTCCGTCGCGGAAACACAAAGTCCAGAAGCCATTTTCAGGCCGAGCAGAGATCTCAGCGTTCCTAGGTACAGACATAGAGGCCACACCCAGGAGCCAGTCCTGATTACTTCCTGTTTCCACGACCCAGTGGTGACTTCCTGAGCCAAGCGGGGTCATGGCTACCACTTCAGCACTCATGTGGAAGCGCTCTGGGTTGTCAGGGCAACAGCAGGGCTGCTTTGAGTATTTGAGGGAAGTGAGGTTCTCAGACAGGATGAGGCAGGGGTGTGCTGTGTTTGGGTCTAAAGTCACCGGAGCTAAAACACAGGAAATTAGTCACAGAGATTGATATGTTAAACAGGGTTTCATTTGTACAATTGTACAATCAAGAAACTAAAATAAAGTGTACTCACTGTAGTCAATATGGTCCAGCATTTTCTCCCAGACTCTATACTTGAGGTTGCAGAGATGCTGGGTCACATCAATCAGTAATCCCGACGTGTCGTCTAAGCCGAGCACCATGCTTTTGCTTCTGTGATAAAAGCAGATATGCTACACTGACAAAATGTCATTGCTAACACAAGCAAGAGTGTGAATATAATCTTGTTGGCCTACCTGTCCTGAGTGACTTTAAAGTTCTGGAAAAAAAAATAATACAGTGTCAAGGTGGGAAGTTTTTGGAAACACTGATCAAAGAGCAGAAGTATAGACTGCACGAACCTTCAACAAAACCATATCGTCTTCTTTCAGCTGCTCCTGTATGATTGAGATGGTCTCTGTGAGGGACAGCAACTCTGCAGAAAGTTCTTTAATCTTATCCTTCATCCCTGCAATCTTCTCTTCTTCCTCTTTCTTCACAGCTGCTAATCTGGCCGTCTCTTCTTGGCAGAGGACCTGGTGGAGCTGCTCGAACTGGCTCCTGATCAGTCTCTGTGTTTCCAGCGCCTGAGTCTGAGGGAGATTATTGCAGAAGTCTGACTTTTTTATTCATAGGAAATAGGCCTATATGTAAGGCTTGTTATCTGATCACATGTTACCTGGATGCACTTGGACATGTCTGCAGAAGTCCTCTGAATTTGTTTGAGGCTGTCCACTTTGTCTTGCAAGATTTTAAGGGATAAAGCAAGCTCATCCTGAAAGTCAAGCAGGCTTCAGTCAGGGAGCTGAAGTGAATGATGTTTCAGTGTTGTCAGTACTTTGAGCTATCTTAGGCCTGCGTTCATGACTGAAATGTTACAGCGGGGATCACAAGCAGGTCAGACTTGAGGAGCAGCATTCTACCTTTAGGTGTTACTGTAAATACTTCACATCAACGGAGTCAGTTTTAGCTGCTGTTAAAGTGTAACTGTGAAACATATTGCTAAGTTCGTTCCTCTTACCTTGCACTCCAGCACTGCCTCTTCTATGGGCGAGCAGTTGTGAGTTTTGTGCAGTTTAGAAGACTGACACACCACACAGATGGGCTGTTTGTCAACCAAGCAGAAGAGTTTCAGCTTCTCCCCATGCAGACTGCAGTTCATCTTCTCCTCCACTGACGCTGAACTCTGCCTCCTGACCCGCAGAACAGCCTCACACACATTCTTCAGAGCCAAATTGGAGGGAGGATTGGACTTGGAGGTTTTTTTCCTGCATACTGGACATTCACGTAACCCTGTGTCCCAACAACGCTTCAGGCAGCTCCTGCAGAAACTGTGGCTACATGGCAGCAAAACAGGGTCTGTGAAGATGTCACAGCACACAGGGCATGTGAGATCCTCCTCTGGTAGTGACATGATCAATAGCTTGGCATGTACAGTCAAGTAAGCCCACGGTTCAAAACGGCAGACGTCCTTAATGAATTCCTCTGTCACAGCATAATTTAGTGTACATAGTAAAATCAGTCCAGCTTCAGAGTGCATCTATGTAGCTATTGTTCCTGACACGAAGCAGCAAATGCTCTTGGTTTTCCTGTGCATGAGGGAGTAACTTAAATCATGCAGCAGTGAAAACACTGTATGTAACAGAGCAGGGAAACAGGAAATAAAACCCTATTGGCCCGTTGTTGGACAGCTTAAAACTGGTGGGTAACTTGCTGCATGTTTTGGAATGCAATCATTCAGGATATGAGGGTGAAAGTTTCAGCGTTGACATTCATGTTAACAGCCCGACGCAGCACACTGACAAACCTTTCAACCTGCTTATCAATTCAACAGGCTGTTTACACACCAAACACTGCCATTAATGTCATATATCAGTGAATTAAGTCACTGTTGTAACACTGTAAAGTGTGCTGCTGTTGCCCAGCGCTACTGAGGTGTTGGTTTCTGTCTTTTAACAGGTGAGTTTTACCTGAACAGACTGAACCAGCTCAGAGCAGTCAGATGGGATTTTACCATAGCAACCAAAAGGTCACCCATTATAATATGTACTGGATAAAGCAGGTCAGTGATAATATAGGTTGTGATAGTACATACAGTACGTTTTATGGGAAGATATCCCCCTCGTGTGTGTGCATTACATTATGTTGTGTTTATCTTGATACAACATTCATGCTGCAGATCAATATTTGATCACATATAAGGGACCAGAAGGACATGTTTTTTTGTTCAAGAAGGCTGCAATCCAAGAAAGGTAGAATATTAAATATGTTCCAGCCAAAAATAGATTAAGGAACACAGAGAACATGTACTCTGAAAGCCGACTTTTGGTGAGTCTGGAGACGTGTGGATGCAGGTTGTTATTGCGAGTGACAAGCTTTTGGAGAAGTATAATTTTAGATTTGTCCTTGATTCTAAGTGTGTGAACATTCAACACCCTAAAACATCTGCCTTTTAGGCATTAAGGTGGATAATATTTCTTTTTGACATATAGTATTGGGTTTTCTGTTAATTAAAAAGATTGTCATGGTAACCTGGAATAAATTTCTTTAACTTTGAAAACTGGCTTAAGTATTTAATGGGTATATTATTAATAACATTGAAGAAAAGATTGTGCACTTAATGGACAACAGTTATCAATAAAATCAGCTTTAAGAAATTACATTTACAATTACATTCACCTGCAAACCCCTACAGTTGTTTTGCGTTTTTTGTTGTTGCTGTTATGTAACCCATAAGTACTGCACATATCAGTGGTCTTGCTCATTGTCCCATTTTGATTGTAATAGTAGTTTGGCTACATTAATGAATGGTAATAATAGATAAAGTAAAGCACACCTGTGATCAGAGGGGTTAGGCTAACCTGTGGCCCTACCAGGTTGCACATCCTTGGGTATTTTTGTGTGTGTGTGTGTGTGTGTGCGTGTGTGTGTGTGTGTGTGTGTGTGTGTGTGTGTGTGTGTGTGTGTGTGTGTCCTGTTTCAACATGCAGACCTTGTGGCACAAAGATAATCCTGTTACTTTGGAATAACATCAAGTTGACCTGTTCAAAAGACTTCAGACCCAACAGATTTTCTATGTTTCTGTGTCTTGTCCTTTCAAGCTGGGTGATGTTGACATCCATGATGCATTACACTGGGCTACACTGTTAAAACTGCACAACAGTGACCTTGATGCTAAAGTGTGTAGCTGCTTTAGTCCTCAATCACTTCTGTGCCAACGTGTACAAGTCCGTGGGTGCACTGAGTCCGTGAGAATAATGAGAATCTTATTGATGACTGATGCAGCTCCTCGCATCCTATCCGCCATTTCCACGGATCTCGGTTCCTCCCATCTCTCCTCCGGTCTTTGGTTGCCATGGCGATGACGTCAAGTTGCACCACCGATTCAGCCCAGTAGACGCTTTTAGAGGCGGTGCAACAAATCCCATACAATCGACTGCAGGAGCCAGTCATCCTGTCAGTCCCTGCTGCTCAGATTCCCATCTCCAGCTCGACCGTCCTCGTATCCATCGTTCCAAAATGCGCGAAATTGTGCACTTGCAAGCCGGTCAGTGCGGAAACCAGATCGGTGCTAAGGTATTTTTCTTTTTTCTTTTTTTTTTTCCCTCTGCTTGTGCAGGCATTCAAGCAAGCACGCCTCGGTGTCGCTGAGAGGAGCCCTCTAATCCATCTTCCAGGAATTCTCTAGAAGAAACTCAGCGCGGTGTCCCTTCTCGGTTAAAGCTCCTAATTAAGAAAAAAAATGAAAATCATCGTCGATTAGCTCATTTATATTCTCCTCAAATCTTACACTGGGGCTCCATGCACGCGTTGATTTATGCAATAGACCAAAAGATTTAGGCAACAGACAAAAAATATTTTGGTGCTTTGGTATTTGCATGCAAAGTTGGCCTTTGATGTGTCTACTTTTTTGCAGGCAGTTACATAAGCGATTGACTGTAGTAGTAATGTAACAGTACTGTCACAGTAGGAGCAGCCTCCCCTCCCCCTTCACATTTATGACCTATATTTACCTATGATTCTTTGCAAGGCAATTTCTGTTGAAAAATTTCCTTTTTTAAAACATATGAAATTTACTATTTTAACACTGACATGGTGTATACGGTATCTTTAGTAGGTTTAAGCTCGTTAACACATAATAGCATAGTGTGTTCTAATAGCATCGAAGAACCTGCTTCTTATCAGATTATTGCCATCTGCTTGATTACTCCTGAGACACTCTGCATTTCAGACTAATAGTCCGCACTTATGACCTGCATTCAACTTGCAAATGAAGTAGTCTTGCAGCTTTGCATGTTTAAAAATAGCTTTCTATACAGCGGCTGTGTGCTGTTTCAGAGTTTGGGTGTCAGTGCATATTAAATTATGTTTGTGATGACTTTTTTTTTACCTTGGGCTAGATAAACATCTCTCTTTCCCTCTTCTCCCAACACGCCTGTTTTTCTCTCAGTTCTGGGAGGTGATCAGTGATGAGCACGGCATTGATCCCACTGGTACCTACCATGGAGACAGCGATCTGCAGCTAGACAGGATCAGCGTCTATTACAATGAGGCCACAGGTAGGATTCAGATTCAGCTACAGCACACACACACACACACACACACACACACACACACACACACACAGCAAAATGAGCAATGTCATCCCTTCTCTCACCTACTCAGCTTTCCTAGTATAGGAAATGATTTTCATACACATCTGTCTGGTGCATTCATTGCATCATGCTTAACAAGAACAAAATTGTTGATCCATTTTGCATAATCTCAGGTGGGAAGTACGTGCCCCGAGCCATCCTGGTGGATCTGGAGCCTGGTACGATGGACTCAGTCCGGTCCGGTCCCTTCGGGCAGATCTTCAGACCTGACAACTTTGTCTTTGGTAAGCTATGTGAATTTCGTGACTATGCACTTACTGTACCTGTAATCACATCAGAACAGAGTACTTTTTTTTTTGTTGCCGGTGTTTTATACATCAGCTTATTAAATCGTGACACTCTTGACTACAGGCCAGAGTGGAGCTGGAAACAACTGGGCCAAGGGCCACTACACCGAGGGAGCTGAGCTGGTGGACTCCGTCCTGGACGTGGTGAGGAAAGAGGCTGAGAGCTGCGATTGCCTTCAGGGTTTCCAGCTTACTCACTCCCTGGGTGGTGGCACTGGCTCTGGCATGGGCACCCTCCTCATCAGCAAAATCCGGGAAGAGTATCCGGATCGTATCATGAACACCTTCAGCGTGGTGCCATCTCCTAAGGTGTCCGACACTGTGGTGGAGCCCTACAACGCCACCCTCTCCGTCCACCAGCTGGTAGAGAACACTGACGAGACCTACTGCATTGACAATGAAGCTCTCTATGATATCTGCTTCCGCACACTTAAACTCACTACCCCCACCTATGGAGACCTCAACCATTTGGTGTCTGCCACCATGAGCGGAGTGACCACCTGTCTGCGTTTCCCTGGACAGCTCAACGCTGATCTCCGTAAACTCGCTGTCAACATGGTGCCATTCCCCCGTCTTCACTTCTTCATGCCAGGCTTCGCCCCCCTCACCAGCAGGGGCAGCCAGCAGTACCGCGCCCTGTCTGTGCCCGAGCTCACCCAACAGATGTTCGACGCCAAGAACATGATGGCCGCCTGCGACCCGCGTCACGGCCGCTACCTCACCGTGGCTGCCGTGTTCAGGGGCCGCATGTCCATGAAGGAGGTGGATGAGCAGATGCTGAACGTGCAGAACAAGAACAGCAGCTACTTCGTGGAATGGATCCCGAACAATGTGAAGACCGCCGTCTGTGACATCCCACCCCGTGGCCTCAAAATGGCTGCCACTTTCATCGGCAACAGCACCGCCATCCAGGAGCTGTTCAAGCGCATCTCCGAGCAGTTCACCGCCATGTTCCGTCGTAAGGCCTTCCTCCACTGGTACACTGGTGAGGGCATGGATGAGATGGAGTTCACAGAGGCCGAGAGCAACATGAACGACCTGGTGTCCGAATACCAGCAGTACCAGGACGCCACCGCAGAGGAGGGCGAGTTTGAGGAAGAGGGAGAGGAGGAAGTCGCCTAAACCCTCTGCACGCCCAGCTGCCAAACCTCATCTCACCTCACCCATCCCCCAACTCCACCCCTTTCATCCCTGACACACTGAAAAACTGTCACCACCTACATCACTACTGCTCTAGTGTTAGACTTTGATGTTAACTGATACTAGTGATGTTTTTGGTTCAAATGTTTTTGTATGTTGTGAATGCACTGAATTATTAAAACCCTTACATCTGTCCTGTCATTGCCTTGCCAAACTCAGCAGCAAGTGATTTTAACTGTGAAGCCTTGAAATTGGAGGATGATTAAAGTCTGATTAAAAGGCCCTTTTTACTGCCTCTGAGTTTTTATTGATTCATTCCATTTGTGATCTGACATTTATCAGACTCTGGAGCACTTCAGTGTCTGTTCTAAACCTGAAGGTCAGGCCCCTTGTAAGGGTCATAAACACAATATTGGGATCCATAAAAAGTTTCTTCTACACAATTTTTCTTTCATTTAAATGCGGAATAGTCGTTAACCTGTAAAGCCCTGTAACAACTATCTGAAGGGGGAAAATCATTGGTTGAACTTCGAAAACACTATGAAAAGGCTGAAGGTCAAACAGTTCATTTATGACTGTATGTCAGTCACAAGCCAAGGGTGCTAATCTTGAATATCAAAGTCAACTAACCATCTTTTTTGATCTTAGACCAGTTATGAAAAGTACTTTCTAAAATCCACCTGGTAAATCAAACAAATGCTGACAATGTAGTTTGGACTTTGAATCACATAATAACAATCAAATTATTAAGAATCAAGTATTAAGTGTAGGATTTCCCTTAATGAAAACAGAAAACAGTCAGGAAACAGACTGTGCTATAATGTAAAGAAGTTAAACACAGTACATCCGGAACAATTTATCCCAGCTCCCATTGTTAAAGAAGAAATTATTTATAGATGTTTCATCAAAACAAAATCCCTGTGAAAAATATTTTTTATCATGTTTATATAAGCTCTGCCTGCTCTCTGCGGCTCTCAGCTACATTGTAGGGAGGCTTCTCTTATCAGCGAGGAGTCTCACTGAATATGAATGTTTTTTCCAGAACTCTTAGTCAGTAAATGGCTTCCAGTGTTATCAAAGTGTGGATAGGGATAAAAACAATCCTTTAAATTCATTCTTTTTTTTTTGAAAAAAAAAAAAAGGAATCCTGCCTTGATGTGTTCTCTAATGTAAGACCACTTCTGAGTTTTAAAATCAACTTGATCTAAGCAGATCCTTCCAGTATTACATCTTAATATATGTCATGCAGAACAGGCTCATTACTAGTCCAAATTTAATTAGATGACATTGTTGTTTAACATCCACCATGATGCTAATGACATTACATGACTGTACAAATTACTGTTCTGTGCTGAATCCACTGAGAACCAGAAAACGTGTGTTAACAGTAGGAGTCAAGTGTTCAATTATGTTACCTTCTATTTAGTTTCCAAATATTTAGATGAACGAGAAATCTCTAAATAACTGATTAAACTCACTCTACAATATTTCATTACATTATAGATAACACTTTTTCCCACAGACTAACAATGGCTTCAGTGTTTAAGTGACTTTCTCAAGTGCTCTGGGGGGGGGGCTGAACTTTCACTCTCTGACAACCCAGACTGCTTATCTGCCCTTCTGTTTTATCATCCTAAAACACTCCCTGCACAAATACCTAGTCAGGCACTTGTTTATATTTGCTGCGTAGACCTTTTAGGCCTCTGACTCTGGCTCACTGCCCACGAGGGTGCTTCAGGGAGTTAAATGTTTCACTGCTTCATACCCAAATCTTATTTTGACTGGGATTGTGAATACAATTACAGCTTTTAGTGACATTATGTATTTATGAGAAACTCAATGACAATGACACTGCTTTGTAACATTTAATTATTCAACTATTATACAAGTACGCTGTTATTTATTTGATCAAATCATTAATAAATATGCTGTGAAACTGTCAAACATCTCTGCTTGATTGCAATGCATTATGCGCTGCAAGGTTGATCCGATGAAGTGAAATGTTTTAAATAACGCAACTTTACATTCGTATGATCATTCAAAGAATACTTAAAAGTGTAAACAACTGTTTGTGTTTGCAGGGTATGATTTCATAGTATAACTTCATTTTTATTGCACAGCAGGTTACTTAAAATCAAGAAGTTTGTGGTAAGATGTTTGATTACACAAAGTGTTTAGCTAAAAAAAACATCAGTTTCAAATGCAATGGACTCTCTGTGGAAAACAAAACAACAAGTTTGAGGTAAAGGATCAGTGTAGATTTTGCCAGTGACAGTATCTCATAATAGACTGAATCAAATCAAGTAAAATGAAACAAGAAAAACGTGTTGAAACTACAATCATTAGTGTTGATAAAATACTGCCACTCCAGTTTCACCTGTGCAGAAGAAATGTTCAGACCCTGCTTGAAGTGTTCAGTCGTGGTCTTCAAATCCACTGAAAGATGAAGCAGAGGAAGAAGATGAAATGAGGCGGTAAGTAAATTATCATGTTCTGGTACCTCAGTCTCGGCACTCTGTCCTCTCTTAAACTTCAAAGATTCTTCTTTGAATGATCAGCTCAAGGGAGACAGCCTCGTCACACACGAGCGCTGCCACGCACCTGTTTGCAGTCTGTTAGAACATAAAGCGCTACATCTCAAATGAGTCTCTCCTCCTTTGGTAACTTTAGTGCATCTGGTGCCGCCACGCTGTGTGCACCGGACTGTTCCTCAGCACTGGGTCTGTACGTCCCTTCAGTCTGCCTCTTCTTTTTCACCACGCAGAAGAGCCAGGCGAGAACAGCCAACACTATGGCCAGCACGCCCAGAGTGACCGTAGGGGCCACGATAGCTGCAATGTTGGGTCCCTGCAAATGGAAAATCACAGGACAGGGATCAATCTGGGGAAACTGGACACTTTCTGATGTTATTAAGTGAACATGATTAAAGTTTTTCACTCACATTAGTCTCATTAGAAGTGGTGCCAATCACTGGGGTGGTATAATTGCCTTTAAAAAATAGCAGAAACATCACTTAAGTGACAATACATATCACACTGTGCAATGCAAGCTAATAAAGCCTGCGCATACCACATCCAACTGACTATAGGGCTCCAAACTGCTGGTAACCTATTGGGGTTGTCCATTAACTAAAAAAATTCTTAGTTAGTTATGACTAGTTGTTTTAATTGTTGAGTGCCTCCAAACCTGGGTTTTTGAGTAACTGGGTTACCACAGTGCATGTAAGCACATTTATGCATCCTGTGCTGAAACCTGGTTATTAGCAGTAATCTGGATGAATTTAAAGGAATAGTTCGACATTTTTTGGAAATAAACCGGTTGAGTGAACCAGTTCCCATGCAAGAAGAGGAGACTCCAGTGAGAAATAGTCCAGGATATAACCCTCTGTAAAACTTGCAAAATGGAGCTTTTACATTTTGGGTTTAGCACGGATTAAATAATGAGATGTAACATGTTAATCTGTAAGATTTAGAGGTGCCAGGAAGTGGATTTTGGTACCTCAGAAAGAGCCAAGTTAGCTCTTTCCGCTTGTTTCCAGTCTTACCGCTGAGCTAAGCTAAAGGGCTGCTGTTTCAGCTACATATTACACATACAGAAAATATCACTGAATTTTGAACAGCCACTGAAATTAAAAAATAAACATACACAGATGAATGCAGGTTTTCAGAGGGGCTTTTAATATCTATTTCTTTGACAAAGTGCAAAATGCTCAAATAAGTGGTGACGAGTCGTGACCGTTATTCTCCAGTAATGACTCATGGCCAAAGATCATTGTCCCAAGGACAAGAGCTCTAAATCTACTATGACCTTTAAAACCGAGTCACTTATTCACATCAAAGTTTAACTCATTTTTAAAGGCAGCGGGGACATTATTTTACACAACTAGAAGTAGAAGCATTCATAAGTCTTTTAGTCATATGAATACTTTCAAGGCAACAAATATAAAATGTAGCATACCAGATATCTATTTCCCCTTATTTCCAGTTATTTTATCCATGACCAGCCATGTGATTACAAAGTGACATCATGAAACTACATAGTAACTACTAGAGCAGGAGAGTGAATGAGGAGGAGGGGTGGGGGGCTCAGGAATGCAGAGTGCACTGCAGCTATAAAGTCAGCTGAGTCACACAACACAGTGGTTTGAAATATGGAGAAAAAAAATTCAAATCTACTGTTGTTTTGTTTGTTTGTGCAAAGCATTGCAGCAACTACTTAGAAAAAAAGGAAGTGTTATTTTGGAAACTTAAACCAAACCTTATTTTTTCCATTTTCTCAGTCAATCATTCACTAAGGCAAATAGTAAACTTTGCATGGACAAAAGTACAACCTGATAACAAAAGGGGGTGGGGTGGGTGGGTTACAGGAGGGGGCAGTCATGCTCGAAAAGACATATTGCAAAAGAGGAATCTCGTGTATGTGCAATAATTGATAACAGGCTAAGACTGGATATAAATGTACCTCTTTCTAATATGGCACAACATCTTTCTTAATCCATTTCTTAGTTCAATGCTTGCTGACAAGTCTGCTCATGTTTCAGATTTCCTCTGGAATGTCTCCTAAGATGTTTTTTTATTTATCATTGTGGGATTTAATGTGCGTGTGTGTGTGTGTGTGTGTGTAGGTGTGGTCAGAAGGATGATAGTTTATCTGTGTAGGAGGTGGGAGTGCCGAGGATGAAGAGATGGTTACTGACTCACCCCACACAGGATTACTGCTCAGTACGAGCAGTAAAACACTCCCAACCACAACACCAGGGACGGCCAGCACATCCGGATACGCTGCCATCTCTACCCGTGGCCAGCAGGGCCGAGTGAGGGCAGGCTGGGACTTTAAGGGCATCAGCTTGGGTCCATTTCATTAGGACGACATTCACTGTGTGGATTTATTGTCCTCCTTGAACAGCTGAAGACACATTATTGTTAGTAATGAAGAGACAAATGTGCTTTTCTTGAATTCAGCCCGAAACTCCTACAGACTAATTTACTCTGAGGTTTAGTAAAGCAGCTGACACCATACAGCCTTTGAGTCACACGTTCAGCCTGATGTTGAATCACCATAAACCTGCTCAGACCACAGGAAATCTATTAATAGCACATGCATTAAAACCTACATGCAGCACTAAAGTTAAACCTCTTCTCATTTGCAACAATATTATTATATTTTCTAAAAATGAAGAGGGCAAATATGTTATAAAGTTAACTTTCCACTTTATGAACACATACCCATGATCCAGCTGTTTTCAGGTGGCCAAAGCAAAACGGGAAACACCGAGCAGGTTGATTCCTCACGAATGTACCATGTTGCTTCCGCCTCACCTTGTCAAAAATGAAACTGCAACAAATGGTTTAGTCCAATGAAAATGACAGGTAACATCCCAAGGCATTAAAAAAGGTTTTCCGTACATCTGCGAAAGAATAGATCCCTCAGTGTCAACTACATCCTCGACTTGCACCACCAGTTGGTGCTTTATGGAAAGCAGTTTTTTTTTCGTCTACTCTTCAAATCGCCATTGGTCACATGGTTCAGTTTCATGTTACATTACCTGGGCGCAGTTATCTACCTGCAGCAGAGCGGACAGATCCTCCTTTGTACAAAGACGAAAAGAAAAACGCGGTGTACTGGAGCAGAACAGACCCGATTTCTCCTGTTGTCTTTAAAAAAAAAACGTCCCCCAGTTATACTGAATAATATCTAGAAATAACTTAAATCACGTTTGTGGCGTGCTGTTTAGCTTCTGATACTTGATTTGAACTGTTTTTTTTTTTTTTTGGTAATAGTACAGTATGATGGCAGGTTGCTCCCACTTGTTCCAGCCTGCTGGAGTACAATGTTTGACTGTAGTCTGTGCCCATGCTCTTACCTAGCAACCTGTCTGATGGTGGTGGCACGAAATAGCGCCTCCGCGAGGTTTCATGTTTCCCCAACATGTGAAAGGATATCTACATTCCTGAGATATTTTAAGGATGAATTCGGCGGCCAGCTGGTCCAGTGGGCTCTAATCCTCACCTAATCTCCCCTTCTCAGACTCGGAGGGGGCAAGGAAAATGTAGGCTGCTTCAGGCCTAATCTGTGGTGGTCAGACAGTTTTCATTTGGAGGATGTGTGAGAGCATTGAGGCGTTTTGGAAAAGCAGAAAAAGTCTCTTCTGCAAAATTACAGAAGTGAGTCAGTCTGTTGCTCTTCTGACCATATCATTTTTGTGCATTTTTTACTGTCCTATCTATAGCCTATATTTCAAAATTGGAGACTCATACTCATACTTTTCTGTGTGATTTACAGTGTTTATCTTAATGCAGTATATGATTAGAGATCATAGTCATGGCTGACAAAATGTTCAGTGTCTTTTTCACTGAAAAAGGCATTTTAATTGAAGGCGCAAGATATATTTATCTATATTAGTCTTTTCAAAGAATATGTGGGTGGTTGTTCAATTCAGTGAAGATTCATTCAATTTTCAAATTTCATTGTAATTTCATAAGGCTAAGCCTGTATGAGCATTTTTCACTGTCTTCACTGTAGAAAATCTATGGACAAATTGTAAGCCTTTAACTTTTTATTTATCTATCCATCTATCACCTTGTTATTCTATTTGTTAATTTATTCATTTGTCTTGCATATTTTTCAAAATTCTCTAAGTCAGTCACTTCTGGATCACATGCCAGTAGGCTTAATTTTGTGGAATGGAATACAAAGTTTCTGCCAAGTCTCTCCAAGTTTGACCCATACTGGCCAGTGGAGAGCACATTCTGTATAAAAACAGTACATGCTTAGTGGGATGACTGACATTCTTTACCCTGCTGGTATATGTGGATTTCTTCACAGGTACATAAAGCAAAGTGAACATTTTTCTACTGAAAGTCTGTATCAGTCAATTGTCTCATAGACTATCACTACAGGCACATAGTTTACACAGGGTGTGGAAATTAAATGTACACTGACAGGCTGGCAACAGTTTTGCAGTAAATATTATTTTTGTGAAAGGTTTATATATCAATATCTCTTCCGAGGGGAACTGTTTAAAGGATAATTTCGAAGGTTGTATTGGATTTGACTGCATTAGGCAGTATTATGATGTGCCTGGTGTCCATCCTTTTTGAGGGTGTTTAATTCTACTTGTACCTCCCAACCTAAGGTAATTATGCTCAAGTATTGGTTATCAAAACAGCAACAAAATACCTGCAACTGTGGACTGACTTGAGAGTAGATAGATCAGAAGCTTATGCCATGTTTCATTACTGCTTGCAACTTGATTTAGTACTTTGGAAGGACATGAATTGTGTGTTGATGGTTGAAATAATTACAGTAGTAAAGAAAGCTTATGTGCAGACAGTTTTGTTTTTTTGAAGCTCGCTCCTCTAATATCGTGCCACTAGGGGCCAATATAGGCACTTTGCCTTTCCTCTGATGGAGGTGGCCCCTCTACCACGCACGTACCGCTTGCCGTCGGCGCGGCAGGACAGTCAATCGGCGGGAGAGCGGTATATCTATCCTCAAATTTAATGTGAGCTGGGTTTACTGCAAATTAAGTGAGTAATGTGCATTTAGTCGTAAAAATAAAGCTTAAGTTGAATGTAAGCACGGGTGTTTGGCAGATAATACTGTTGACGCTGGTTATTTTGCCTTTGTCGTGGTAGTGTAGCTTTTAAAGCATTCCCCGGGAAACTGGTTTGAACGTTTGTTTTCGGTTAGCCTCGTTTTAGCGCTCCAGCAACAATGGCGAAGGTGCAGGTGCTGAATGTGGCTGTCCTGGATAACCCGAGTCCCTTTGGAAACCCTTTTCAGTTTGAAATAACGTTTGAGTGTATGGAGGACCTTCCCGAAGGTAGGTGCCATCATAGGAAAACTATCACTATTGACTCTCTGAGGCCAAAGCGTGAGCATGTTGCTATTTCAGTCTGTGTAAAATTGCTAATGGCTAACGCAGTATTAGCCACAGTAGCTAACTTTAACCAGAAAGTCTTCAGGGTTGCGAGAGATAACGCCAACAAACAAGGCAATAGTAAAGTAAGGTCACACAGCTTGACTGAATGTGTTTCCCACGGTGGCCACATCTCAAAGTTATCTAACTCAGATCATTTCGTTCAGTGAAACTTCAGAATATGCTAATGCATACCATTACTAGACCTTGAAATACATCCATGTCACACCTTTGAAGTTACACATTCAGCCCTTAAGTAATGTGAAAGTATTTGTCAAGTATTGCACGGAGGTAGAGCGGGTCGTCCACAAATTAGAAGGTCGGTGGTTCGATCCCCGGCTCCTCCAGGCTGCATGTCGAAGTGTCCTTGGGCAAGATACTGAACGCCACATTGCCCCTGATGGCTGTTCCATCAGTGTATGAATATGTGAGTGAATGTGGCAAGTATTGTGAAGCGCTTTGAGTGGTCAGTAAGACTAGAAAAGCACTATATACGTGCAAGTCCTTTTACCATTTACCATAACAGTAAAATTTTGGATGGATTGTAGATTTCATAGTTCAGTGTCTATTCTAATTTACTTTTTCAGCACTTAGAGTCCAAACCTTGGTTGCAGTTGTAGCTCTGTGTTCCTAATAAACTGACAACTGATTGTATTGCTAGTGGGTATACCACCAGCTTTGTTGTTTGCTTTACTGTTCATAATACACTGGCTTGCTTATTAAGTTTTGCCTTTGTAAATTTATGTATGGGACAATCTCTGGACACATTTCTTTGTATCCCAGCTGTCTGTTATGGTAAATGTATGCATAATCATATGATTAGTAGGGATGAAACTGAGAAAAACTATTAATTCTTGTGAATGAGAAGCTTTCCTCAAGCCGTGTTTGGCATTTTTCTTGATAAATGACTAATATGATGAGTCTCTTCTCAGTTGCAAATGGCAAATTTTCTGTTGATCACCATCAGTTCATGTCTCAACAGTGCATTTATCATTTCACATTTTATAAAGAAACATAACATCAGTTTACTTAATTTTGTTTTATAGACCTGGAGTGGAAAATCATCTATGTTGGCTCAGCAGAGAGTGAAGAGTATGACCAAATCCTTGACTCTGTCCTGGTCGGCCCCGTTCCTGCTGGGAGACACATGTTTGTGTTTCAGGTATGTTTGGTAGGGTAAATAACTGAAACTGTGCTTTTTAAGCCATGTATAGTAAATACTGGTAACAATAATATCATCACATCTTATTGTGTTCTGTTACACCTTCATTGTTGGCAATTGCATTATCTCTTTAAAATTCTGGAGAGCTCTTTTCTCCTGCATAGCTTTCTAATCATACCCAGAGCAGTTTTAAAGATCAGGTTTTATATATTATTATGGGACAGAATTTTTTTTTAAATATAATAAAATTTTATATATTTATATGTTAATAAATATATTAATCCAGTGGAAGCTACTGCCATGTATTGTGAAACTGTAATACAAACAAATAGCAAATTTTGCTGGAGGAGTTCCATGCAAGTTTCCTTTGAAAATGACTGGTTAATTACTCAGAGAAGCTGGATTGTTTCTGTAAATGGTCAGCAAACGTAATACGTATTTGTATTTTTTTTAAGTTCCCCTATTTATTGATGCCACTGCATATTCTATAATTATTGATTCACCGAGAAGCAGTTAATTGAAGTACTTTAAGGCCAGTTGTGCCATTGGCATAATTCATATTATAAACCACATATACACAATATATTGTCAAAATAGACTTAGTGATAAAGAGTTCCTGAAATTAGCATATACCTCATATTTTTGTACATCTTGTATTGTTTCCCTTTTAACAGGCTGATGCCCCAAACACTGGATTGATCCCTGAAAGTGACGCTGTTGGTGTAACTGTAGTGCTGATTACCTGCACATATCGTGGCCAGGAATTCATTCGCATTGGTTACTATGTGAACAATGAATACACAGACCCCGAGCTTCGTGAAAATCCACCAATCAAGCCAGACTACACTCAGGTCAGACTAATGGTTGATTTCTGGATAATCAGTTCTGATGCCAACGAGTGTGCCTAATACTTATTTCAGTGGTTTTAAGAAATACTATTATAAAAATAATATTTTATGAGCTTGAATGTATGGTGCTCTGTCTGGTTGAAGAACAGTTGTGAACTAATTTTGCTATAAAGTCAACCTAAAAAGTTTCTTAAACACAATCCATCATTAATTAACAGTCAAATTTTTAATTGGTGGAAGATCTAATATACTACACAACCATTTTAAAAAATATGTTCTTTTCATCCCTAAAATAGCAAGAACAATGGTAGTTGTCAAGCAGCAACTGAATCGTTTGATTCTGCAGAGCCTGCACTTTGAAACAAAGATGCTGAGAACGGTTGATCCTTCAAAAATCCCCTTGATTATATAATGAGTTAAGCAAAATGTTTCTTTTCTGTAAGCAGTTTTGTTCATTCTGATGGTAACTTCACTAATAGGCCACTGTGATTTTTGCTGTAATGACAAAGGATTTTGTTTGTAGGTGTCACATTTTTAAGGTGGCTGACATTTGGAATGAAACCTTTCACTCACAGGTGTAAAAGCAAATATCAGGATGAGGGATTACAGTGATGGCAGTTGCAAATGTGTAGTTTCGTGTAGTATAGTATATACTGTAGTTGATGTGATTATTCATTGTTGAGAAAATTCTATTTGGTACCTTTTGTATCATTCTGATCTACAGAGTTCACACTTTCTTGCCCTGAGTCTAGATGCCAAAAGTGGGATGTATTGTTTTTTTTCTTCCAAGTTCAGAAATGATTAAATAATCTAAAATCTCATTTCAGTTGCACTTAAAAACCACATTAACATGTAAAAATAATAGAAATAATGTGCGTGTTAGATAAGATATAACTAAATTCAGATTGATTGAATAATAACATGGTGTTATATTTATTTCTATTCCCATATTTCCTTCACAGCTTCAGAGAAATATTCTGGCATCAAACCCACGTGTTACCAGATTCCATATAAACTGGGAAGGCTGCGCAGAGCGAATGGAAGACTCTGAAAATGTGGATCCCACATCAAATTCTATGCTCCCTCCATCCTGCCTTCCAGGCAAGGCCCCACCCTTGGGGATACTACCAGATAACTCTATGGACTGCTTATAGAGATGACCCGAAAGATGTAGAAATGACCGGAAAGGTGATAAATCACAGCACGAATCCTTATTTCTGAAGAATGCCTGTGGACATTCTAGTGTGGATGTACAAACATCTTTGCCTTACAGCTGCCCTTATTTTCCTGAGGCTTGTTGTCACAAATGAACTTTCACCTTGGGCTTCAGAAGAGTGTTTGTTCCAAGGAAGATTATAAACATCCCAATGGAATAATCATCACTAATAGCTGTGAGTTCCTTGCCATGATGCTGAAAGCAATATTGAAATAGTTTAACTCATGGAAGGGAAAATGGCAACTATGAAATAATGCAGCTGAACTGAAACAGAGCAGAAAGCTGTGGTGTGATTGTCCCTCCTTCCTTCCTTTTCAGTTGGTGCAAAATGGATTTGTACCCATTTAAGAGGATTTCAGCACTGAAGCAATAGGCAAATAAATTGCAATATGTTGCTGTACAGGAATTTGATAATCTGCCGTTATATTGTGTTCAAATTCCTTTTGCACTTAAACCTTTCCCACTTAGATTGTGGAGTTTCGGATGGGCTTTGTACGGGCTGTATCACTTCCTCCATGTTTTTCTGTTTGCAATTTTGTGTTCCAAATAAAATAACATTGTATTTGTTATGTATCTGTGTCATAGTGAGAACTGTGTCCCTTCTAATTATTGGACTTATTGTGTCTTCACGTGTAACTATTTTGGTTATAGAAGCCAGTAATCAAGCCGCTTTTGAGTACATTTGCTGTGAAAATATATATTTTTGCTCTTGTCCTTGTCCTAGTACGTACCACACGTACTTAATTTGTTTTTCATTATAACCTTAAACACAGCAGAGTCCCAACTTTTTAACACAAATATCAGAGTGAGTATCCCCTTATAATTTCACATTTTACTAAAAATAGTCTGTTACCGTCACACCCAATCATAGATCGGTTGGGTAAAAGGGGTGGTTATATAGGCTACAGGCTTTGAAAACTTCTGCACTGTAACGCATGACGATAGCAAGGTCGCTGCGGTAGATTTGTGTTCTGTACGAAATTCAGTCAGTCAAACAGCTGATAATTTAAAGCAAAAATGTAAAAAAAAAAATAGCTATAGACTTGGGCGTATTGGGTTCTAGCAAGTCTGGGGGGCGGAACAAAATCATTTCACAGGCGAATCGCATCAATGCAATTATTGGATGTATTGACGCATATCCAATCAACACTTGAACTGCGACTTCTGTCACGTAAATATCTGTGAATGTAGCCAATCAGATCCAGTCAGAGGCGGGACTCGCTGGATGGATGACTGGAGTTTCCCTTGCGGTCTGAAGATTAATGGAAGGGGTCTGTTGATCTTAGGAATCGACTATCAGATGGTCGGCCCCAGGAAACCATTGCATTTGACGGCTGGTTTCGGGACGAATGGAGGGATGTCAATTTGAAATAACCAACAGCTGAAAAAACGAATAACCCGGACACCACTTTTGTTATCTGGAGCTCAACTGAAAGGCCTGCTTACATAGAGATAGCACCTGGGTAGGTCAGGCCAGGATACGATTGCAAGGGACGCTGAAAGCTAACCCTAGCTTGCTCATTAGACATACGGAAAACAGCTGTCGGCGATCCGTCTAATGCTCCGGACTGGATTTTGGATAAACCAAGCCGTTTCTGGAAATAAAGGACAGTCGAGTGTCGTCTTGATTTGCCGGTGCTCGCTTGGAAATTGACAAGCTAACGCTAACAAGCTAACAGCCACTGGCCATCTCTGCTAGAGTTAGCTGCCGTGCTAGCCTAGCTAACTTAAAGCATTACTGTTAGCTGCAGACTTGGATATACTCGCTTGGCTGGGGTTTTCCGAACTCACTGCGGAAGAGCGTTGGAAAAATATATTTACACTCATTAGCTAATAATGATAGCTGTTAGCTAGTAGCTAGCTGTCAGCCTCATTGAGCCCAGCGACTGTGTTAGCAGTGTAGCATCACTCTACGACTTGTGAAGGAAAACTCAGCCCGAACCAAGGGACTCCACCATCAGCCTGCCATCATGGGCAACACGCCCACCGCAAAGAAGGGCAATGAGATGGAGAGCGGTGAGTACCCTTAACCCATGGCTGCAGCAGCTGGCTATATCATGCCGCCTGTCGTTGGATGGGTTCGCTGTAGTTATTTCCTGTTTCCCATAATGGCAGCGAAATATAAAGTACAACTTAACACCTGTGCAATGCATCGAGGCCCAGAGACCCTCCACAATACGACATATTGCACTGTTTTCGAAGTGATCAAGCAGAATATGCTAAACTTTGCTGCACTGTCAACTTTAGGTGAGACCCTATGAAAGAGAACATGTGGCCATTCATATTCACATATAAACTTTAGCCAAGCTGTTTTACTGTGACACCGTGTTCATCCTAACTGAACAGCAGAGGATGTTATTCATTCTCTCCGCTGATTCTGTGGGAAAGCTCGTGATTAAAAGCCCCAGGTTATATTCAGAGGTACCAGCGAGGATGACAACAGCTAGCCTTATACAACAGTCATAGGTTTCTTTGTGGTTCATGTCTTGCAGATGTTTTTCCCCCTCCTCTCATAAGGTTTTGAAAGGCTGCAATAACATTGCAAACCTAGACCCTGGTGTGGAGTTGTTTTCTTGTGCACTTTTTAATAACCCAGTTACTTCAGGACAAAACGTTCCTCTGTGTATGGAGAAATGATATGTGCAGAAGTAATGCAGAAATTGGAATCAACAATAGATGCACATATAATTTTAAGTGATGAGTTGAATTTTAATCCAATGTGGACCAGAGCACTGAGTCTCACAGACTGCATTTCAGAGTAAGTGAGTAGAGGGAGTTGGTTGTTATCAGTGAAGGAAAAAGCCACCAGGACAGGGTCATATGATGCATGAGGGTGATCCTCTCCAGGCAGAAACTTGGAGTTGAGGAGTCTCTTGAACATCATGTGATGAGCAGCATTTAGAACAAGGGCACTTGTATGTGTCACCCAGTACGTGTGCGCAAATGTTTGTGTGCGTGACATAGAGCAAGGGATGCTCTGCTCTCGTTAACCGTTTTGTGTGCTCGATTGTTCCCCACAACTTTATATATTGTTAATGAGCTTATCAATCATCAGATTGAAAACAGTTACTATTGGCACATTTAAAAAGGAAATTAAGAGGCATTCAACAAAATAAATGACACTTACAAATAAATATGAACGTAAGTGTTAACTACTAAACCAGGGAAAAATTTTATTCTATTTCTCAATAAATTGCTTGTTAAGTCACTCCAAGCAGTTCTCCTCTCCCAGTCAGGAGCACTGGCCTTGGAGAAGCCCTGGGAGAACACAATTTTATGTTTTTATCCATGACACTATAAATAACGCTCAAGTGTGCAAAGTCTGAACAGGTATCTGCAAAATGAGTGTCAGCTCCTTGTTGCTGGTAGAGAGTAGGTGTGAAGAATGACCTCCAGTAACTCTGTAACTTTAACCCATCGGTGGTAGCCCCTGTAACAAAGGCCATGACTTTCAGGTGTTCAAGCTCAAAGGTTGTTTTTTTTAAATGCTTTATAAGTAGTTAAAATTGTAGGTTAGAAGCAAGGACATACGAGGCACTGCTAGTGGGAGGTTTGTTGACATGCCATGCTTCACATCCTTATCAGCCTGATCGCTCTGGACCCACCCTGATCCCCAGAGACAGGTGCAGACCAGGGGTCCAGAGCCCACACCCAGGAGCGTAGTTTTCCACAGCGCAGCTAGAGATTAAGGACAACATGGCAGCTCATTTTGGTTTCTACGGAAAATGGAAAGAGAGTGTTGAGAGCTGTTTCAGGTGCACAAGGTCTGTTTCCTCTGAACTTTCCAGGCTGGAGAAGACAAGCAGAGAGCCGCTGCTCTAGTATACAAAGCTGATTTCTGGCCCACAGGAAGAAGCAGGGCGGACAGACACTGTGAACTGCAGCAGGAAGTGAAGGAGCAAGGAAGGTCCAGCCCAAGCTCTGCACAGTTGGTCATCGTCTCTACTGCTCTATAAACTAAGCACAGCCAGCCAGGATAGCTTTAAGTTTGGGCCTTTAAGACGCTGTTGGCATCACATATTCTGGATTTCCCGCTTGTTAAAGCATCTGGACGTACTGCAGTGCTGAGACGCTACACAAGCTATCAGCTTGCTTCCTCCAGCCTTTTAGGATGTCTGTTATTCACAGGCTGGCAGGAAGGCTGTTTCACCGAGCTGGGCCCTGTTTAGGGGACACAGGCAGTGGAGACGGCAGATATGACCAACCACAGGAGGAGCTAGAGGCTTGCTGCTGGAGTGAGTCTTCATTCTGGAGCTCGACAGGAGCACGGGTTAGGGGTGGAGCTGTGGTTCATGCTATGTTATGTCCCACTAGCTTAGCCAGTCATACGCTGTGCTCAAGCTCATTCGTTTAACAGATAATTAAGCTGTGATTTTTATTATTATTATTATTATTATTATTATTATTATTATTATTATTATTTTATTGATAATGTTTGTTACTAAACTCACCACATGACCTGGTGAGTTAAGTATCTGTTGGCTTTGGTGGAGTGATCTTTAGTGCTGGCAGACATTGGTTTTACTGGTATTTATTGCCAGAAACCAAGATGTGTGTGTTTGTATATTGATGTATACACGCACACACACACACGCGCACACACACACACACACAGAGCAGCCTTTTGTTCGTCTCTTCTCTGTTAGCTATTGTTTTCAAGGTACAGTTCAAAGGAAAACATTTCTTAGTTATTGTGGAAGTGTCTGTCAGCTGCCATGGTGTACAGTATAACACTGTCAGCCTTAAACTATTACGCAGTGTGACGCTGAACTAATCCTAACACACACAGACTTTATTATTTGTTACAACACTCTTGTATCATTGTCTTTTCCACTGCTCTTGTAAGTCTGTCTGATTGTATTAGTGTTTGATAGCCTGTGAATATTTTTCTGTACTTCACACACTTTTTCCACATCTGATCAAGCCCATCCTCATAACCAGTGATGACACAAGGGATGGTTATATTGAATCTTGTGCGCTTTGGATTTGGCCATATAATGAGGTGGCACCCTGTCAAAGTGCAACTCCCTCAGTCTATAAATAACCTATGGTTCATGTCCTGCCCCTGCTCTGCACGCAGCTGGTTTGTGTAATAGGGGCAGGTTTGTGTTTGGATCGCTCATCACTTCCTGTCTCCAGTAAAAGGGGCTTTGTTATAAGCCTACACTGATTACCAGTGGACCTTACGTTTGAAATGCCAATCAGCCACCTCAGATAAGCTTACAGCACTGTTGGCAAGCTAACATGCTGCCTTGGAACAATCCGGAGATGCAGAATCCAGCAGCAAGCAAAGCAAAACTGAGGATAGAGTGATCACGCAAGGCACAGTAGTTTCTTTTGGATTCTCACCTCAACAGGCGTGGTAGTAGTGTGAATCTTTGTGTCTGTTGTGCTTAATCTTCTAAAGCTGTAGCCACATAGGTGGTGCTACTGAAATTATTTGTACTCTACTATAAATAAAGCATAGCATAGTATAATACCATGCTACAGAAATGAGGAACAGCAGAAACTTAGGGAAATAATTTTTGTTGTCAAAATAGACAGTGTAAAATGTTCATTAGTTACTATATATGTACTTGGCTAAGTTGGGAACGAATTAGATTTGTAAATGTAAAAACTATGTAGTGATGGGTTATACTTACTGAACCTGCTCTGTTTTAGTTCAGCACAACCATAAAACTTCACTTTTGAAGGCTTACTTTTTGTCATATATGTCTGTATAAAAGCCACTCCTGCATGGAAACTAACAAAGTTAGATTTTTTTAGCTGAGGTGTCAATGTGATTCTGAGCAATTTAAATAACAATCATACAATAAAATGGATGGATTCAGGCACTTAACCAGTGCTCTGCATGCATTTGAATAGATGTGAATAGAACATTGCACAATGACCATCAGCTCAGTCTCTCTGCTTCTGTGCTTCTGTATTAGCCAGCTCAGTTCCAACAGTAGTACACAAAACGGCTTCTCATTGGTGGTTTAGTCAGTAGCTGCTTGCTCACCAGTCACAGTGAAATGTCTACTGCCAGTATTCAGCTGATGACTACCATTTATTTCTCATGTTTACACATACATAAACACCTTTCTGGTTCACATGCAGCTCGGTTTCCCCTCTGACTGTTTTCTTATGCACCACATGCTATCTGAACAAGGCCTGGTGTAGATTGGGACCTGATTTGGCGCGCTTCACAGTTAAATGTCGGTCAGCTCGCCCCAATATAACCCTTCTGTTCCTGCGTCAGAGTGGGGCAGTGAGGCCCAGGGGAGAGATGTAGGATTGATTTTTGGAGGATCAATTCAGCACTGGCACTCCACAGACTCTCTGGTGCATTTGGGCAGGGAGAAAAAGTTTCACAGCGGTTTGTGGACTCCTGCTTTGCTGGTGTCTCCTGAGAGAGTTACTTTTATGTTTTTGAAAACACCCAGATCAGCCCTGAAAGTTTTTCATTGCAGATGTGACATCTGATTGGTTCTGCTAATTAGGGAAAGTTTTAGTTGCATCTAGATGTGTCTTGTTCATCTCAAGGGTCTTCACTTAGGCCTAGTTTTCCATAGGACTCTCTGGGTTGGATAAATATACCAGCTAGTGTTTTATGCCCCTCCCCCAGATGATTATGCCCCTGTTTGGATCAATATATAGCCTCTGTGTGTGCATTGTGTGTGTGTGTGTGTGTGTGTGTGTTTTTGCATGTGTGGTTGACATGAGAGGGAACAGCAGAGAGTACTTTGTGTGCAGAATAAATATTGATACAAACCAAGCAAGGGTCTAATTGATCTATGCAAGTGTAACGGGAGCAGTGCTGCTCTCCATGCTATGTTTGACTGCACGTTGGAGGTGGATGCAACTTTCCGAACTTGGTACCCAGCAAAGTGACAGTCACGGAGAAGACTGAAGACATCCTTCCAGCAAGGACACTTGACTGGTTTCTGTGGATGAGTGGGGCAGCTGATCTGACCAGAGTGCTCTCAGAGGGGGAGGATAGGTCATGAGTCAGTGGCAGTGAGGAAGAGGCCAAGGAAGAAGAACTGGGGAGACTTTGCAGGGCTAATGTGTGACAGGAAGAGCTCCAGAAGGCATGCAGGGAAGAGGGAGTCATCCTCGCGCTCAAGTGAATCCGGGTCGCGCTCGGCAGATGCAGCACCAGAGGTACCAATAGTCATCCCAGATGGTAAGGAATTTGGGTTTATAGGAGAATCAGGGTATTGAACGTGAGCTTATCACCTGATTCTCCCCTGGGTAGTCATGGCGGCCAAGCCTCCTAAATCTTACAGAGAGAGAGTCTGAATGAATGATATTTCCTTAAAGACAGCTGTTGATTTGGTTATTTAGCTCCCAGCTACTTTTGCAGCAGCACCCACGTCTTTTTTCTTAGCAGCTTCAAGTGATGACGGGAATAGCTCCATTTGTGGCTCATTGTGCTTGGAAGTGGGAGTTGAGCAAGTTTCTCGGGAAATGTTTTCTCCCTGGCGACCGATCTGCTTCCACTGCTCTCTGTGGGAGCAACAGTGTCTCGACATGTTTATGCGAACTTTGGTCTTTGCCGTTCTTGCTGGCTTTCTCCCATCCTATTGTTGGAGCTGCTAGTCTTTAGAGAATTTGCAGGAAATCACATTAGCTAAATGAGGATTAAGCTTCATTTAGTTTTGAGTGTATGTGTGCAAGAGATGCACAAATGTTCTCATGAGAAATTTATGTGCAGATAGTTGCCACTGATTTCTGATTTGAACATATCACTGCAAAATCCCATTAGTTTGAATATTCATATCACAAAGTTGATGAATAAATTGCTGTGCACTTTCACTATTGACAGCTGACTGGCTTTATTTAAACTGTGCCCTGGGCTGTTTTGCATCGATTACCTAGACAGACAGACATTCCACATTATCCTGAGATGGTTTGTGTTTCCACTGTTTTTCAGTTCTTCATTTATGAAGAACTAGTATAAATAATTTTTTGTATTATTGTAATTATCCTTATTTCTACTTTGAGTTCAGTTCTTTATGTGTGAAATCTTTTGTCCAAAATATTAAACCAGTAATGTGAATGTGTACTATTTACAGAATAGCCTGAGTTTTTCTCTGCTCTCTCTTCATATTCACTGTAGTAATCAAACACCACAATAAATTTAAATTTAATCTGTAGTTGTTTTTCCAACAGTATTTCTATATATACAACCTCAATCATAACATCTGAAATAACAGTGCTTCCTCGGCTGCTAGGGTGGCTATGTCCCTTAAAACTAGTGCACAGACAGTAAGGAGGAATGAGGAAGGACTGGTTATCTGCATGTTCCCACAGACAACGGTGTTTAGCCTCATAAAGATAAGGACAAGAAAAATGAACTTGTCCATATGACACTATGTGTGCTGTCAAATTATGTTCACAGGCATGTAGTCTGTTGGCCTGTAATAACATGTATATGTGTGCATGCACACTGCTGCATTTTTATTATTACATTGCCAAGTCCTAACCTGTGTTCACAGAGACCGGGTGTAGGTTTCTTCCAAAGGCATTCTGGCCTCATGTTAAACTGCACTCTTGGCACTGATCGATTTATTATTCCAGATCAATGTTTTTCTCCCACATAAGTGCATTCATAAGTGCAGGACCCTTGACTTCAGAGCTAACAGTCTGCTTTTGAATATGGGTTTGTTTTGTGTGGGTTTAATGACACTGGACTATGTCAAAGCTCAGAAAATTTTGACCATATGTGTAAAAGAAAATCAAAGTCAAAATTTTGTTTTCTAATTGAGATCAACTTTAACTTGACTCGACAGATGGTTTATCACACAAAACCATCTGGGAAGGTTTTGTTGGAAACTGTTTGGAAAAGGGCAGACACTTTCCAAAATACTTGGCAAGTGATTGGATGAACCATCTGTCTATCACCATCTATCACAGGCTGACTTCAACCAATCAGATTCTGCATTCTTGCTATTTTTTTCACTACCAGCACATTTTGTAAATTAAACTCTTGCCCAAGTTCTGTTCTCTGCTCTTCCGTCAATGAATAAATGCTCTCCAGTTATGATATAACTGATGCTATAGCAGCATCTATGCTAACCTCATTGTAAACGAACAGTCGCTTTCTGCTGTCATCACACCTAAGATACGTCCATAGCTTCCATAAGAGTCTGATTGGTCAGAACTGCCTCTCAAGTTTAGATCAACTTGAAATTTTTTGAGAAAAAGGTCACTCTTGTCTAAATCTATCTTTTGCCATAATGCACAAGCATGACGTTTTGTGGTGTAGGGCCAGCGGCTGTCTCGAGCATGTGCGCACACTCCTAATGTCCTCTTTGCAGAAATGCTCAGGTTTTCTTTCAACCTGTATGGACATTGATTGAATATCAATGTCCACATGCTGCCATAAATTCTAGATAAGATTATGGTCTACATGCTGACGTGGCCACTTCAGGATGTTTAAGTCATTCATATGCAGCTTTAGCTTTAAATGTTGGTGCCTTGCTTGAAAATTAGTCTCCTAAGTCACACATTCGCTGAAGGTTTTCTTGCAGGATTTCTGTGTATTTTGCTGCATTTAGTTTACTTCAGAAGCCTTATTGCTACAGAGACTCTTCCCCACATCATGATGCTGGCACTGTTTTGCTCTCGCTGAACATAGTATTTAGAGTAATGGTTAAAAACCTTGATTTTCTTTTTTTTCTTTTTTTTTGTCTTAACATGCCATTGAACTTCTGCACTTTGTTTCAGAGTGTCTCACATGCCTTCTGGTAAACACTTGCTGAGATGTCACACAAGTGGCTTTCTCTTTGCCACTTTCCTAAAATGCTGTGACTTGTGAAGTACCCGGCTAACTGTTGTCGTACACGTTCTTCCATCTCAGCCATGGAACCCTGCAGCTTCTGTAGACTCTGATTTGGAGGGTGACCTGCACAACACAGATTTACAACTGTGCAATACTTTAGCCATTATTTTGGTTTGATTAGGTTTGAAATGTCCATTTGTCTTCATTCATTGGACTTTTTGCAAGAAAATTGACTCACCAGCTGTTGGACCTTACAGTTACAGGTGTATTTAATCTAAAAACTCTTTGACTTTATTCCGGTTAATAAATAGTAAATTTCTTCATCTTCTAAACAATTCTCTGCACCTGTGATGATTTAGGTGGGTCATAGTAAAGGAGTGGAATTAATTTGTAGTAATTTATTCTCTGGGTAAAAGGGTGTATTTTTACCTTCAGCAAGACAAACTTCAGCATTAGTTTAATTTACTATTTCAGCTGGTTTTATAGTACCGCGTTCACTTTCATGGTTGCAGTTGTTTGGATCCCAACATCAGAGAAAGTCCAAGCCAGTGGAGCCAGGTGACTGACTGTGATCGGCTGATCATATAGACGGTTTTTATGTCAATGTACACATAGGCGCATAACATGTATCATGTTCATTTGGCTGGAATATCCTGCAAATTCCTCCACATTATTGTCATACACAGATGTTGTGGTATTCTCTGGGTCTTGGTGATTAACTTAGGTCAAAGTCTGGTTTTTAAAACACACAATCTCTCTAATGAATATGCAATTTGTTTCTAATTATAGTGAAGGAGTTTCTTGCCAAAGCCAAAGAAGATTTCTTGAAGAAATGGGAGAATCCAGCACAGGTGAGAGAATGAATGAGAATTCCTTCTTTTTTTTATCTGTCTAATCCTCAAAATTTTCATAGTTTTATTCAGTCATTAGAACTGTACATTGCATTTTATAGTCTTTATTATTGTACTTCTGCTAATATTGTTTTTTTTTAGTGTGTTGAGACACATCAGTGTGATAATGCATTTTATGATGCATCTTGTATTAACCAGACTTTTTTCACGTGCTTGTTCACTCTCTCAGGCAGACTCATGGGAGTAGCCCCGCCCATGATCAAATTAATTCCAATTTATTCTAAAGGGGTATTGCACCCTCTGCTGGGCTAATCTGGATATATATTTTTTTCCACAGTGGCTGCACCTCTTATATCAGCTCAATGAACAAAATGAAATGCCTAATTCAGCTTGTTTAATTCACATTAAAACAACAGGAATAATACTTGTTACTGACATGATATTATATTTTAGCTGAGGTATCATTTAGTGAAATAGTTTAGCTAAAGTCAGGCTCGTTATTGGATGTTGCTAGTAAAATGTTATGCACCCTATCCTCTTCTGCCCCTCAGCAAACTGCGGCATTGGACCACTTTGAGCGTTTGAAGACCTTAGGCACTGGTTCATTTGGTCGAGTCATGCTGGTTAAACACAAAGAGACGGGCCAACATTTTGCTATGAAAATACTTGACAAACAGAAGGTACAGTACTTAAAGCATGATTTTATAGAGGAATACTAATAAATATAAATTCTTGACTCTAACCATCTTATATTTCTCATATGATTCTAAACATGTCTGATGAGCCATTTTGATAACCTGTGTTTCCTTAATAAGCGTCCATCTTCTTCCCTCCCAGGTAGTGAAGCTGAAGCAGATAGAGCACACACTGAACGAGAAACGTATCCTGCAAGCTGTCAGCTTTCCCTTTCTGGTGCGACTCGAGCACTCTTTTAAGGTAAGCATTACAGAGTTCATCTGCTAAGCATGTTCATTTCTTGTTTGTATGTGTTTTGCATGTCAAAGTAAAACTTCGCTCATCTCTCTACAGGACAACAGTAATCTGTATATGGTAATGGAGTATGTACCCGGGGGTGAAATGTTCTCGCACTTACGGAGAATCGGTAGATTCAGGTAAACTGACATTTAGTTTACTCAACCTAAATATTTCCATCTGCTGCAGGTTGACTGTAAATATTGTGGCTGATCTGTTTTGCAGTGAACCACACGCCCGCTTCTACGCAGCCCAGATTGTACTGACCTTCGAATACCTTCACTCACTGGACCTCATCTACCGAGATCTGAAGCCGGAGAACCTGCTCATTGACCAGCAAGGTTACATACAGGCAAGGATCGCATGTTTCCTTTCTTAACCATCAACAGCAATTATTGTTTGGTTAGTATCTGTTTTCTTGCAGAGTGTGGTTAGTACTGAGAGCTGTGCCCTCTCTTTCTCAGGTAACAGATTTTGGATTTGCGAAAAGGGTGAAGGGCCGAACCTGGACGCTTTGCGGGACCCCAGAGTACCTGGCACCAGAGATCATCCTCAGTAAGGTTAGTGTTCAGCTGGGCCCATGGTGGACAGCACTGTTTTTTTATATCAAGGGCAGAGGAGTTCTCAAATCTACATGGGACTTCATTAAAAAAAAAAAAAAAAAAAAAAAAAGAAAGGAAAAAAAAAGCCACCAGAACTATGGTACAGTGTGCTGCTTACTGTCTATTGTCAACATTGTAAAGTGTAAGTTTTTGTTTGAGGTCATATCTGACTGCCCTTTTATTTCCTTTGTGCTTTCCAGGGTTACAATAAAGCAGTGGATTGGTGGGCTCTGGGAGTGCTGATATATGAGATGGCTGCTGGTTACCCCCCCTTCTTTGCAGACCAGCCTATTCAGATTTACGAGAAGATTGTATCAGGGAAGGTGAGTTTAGAGAAGCCTACCTAAATAATCATTTTTTTTATTTTAGTGTTTTCATTTCATATTTTATTTATACAGTAGATGGGTATCTGTTTAGGGATCACTGCCATAGAAATAACTACTACCTTGTAGCATGTATTCAGGTAATCTCAAAGCCCATAAACAACAGTATACAGCCACAGATGTGCCAGTTTATTAGGTGCATACACCAGTTGTCGTCCAGATTGTACTCCTCAGCAAGTCATTTGTCATGTGACTGCAGTAAATGGTATAAATCAGGCAGACAGTGCTCCTAGCATCAGTTGGTTTTCATTAGAGCACTGGAACTAAGCATGTGCCCTCAGAGTCTTTGAACATGGCGGCACAGTTTGCATTAGGCGGGCCAGTTTTAGCACCTCCCAACTGGCTGTCATCTCTGGCTTTCATGTAAAAACTACCAGTGGTAAGCGATCCTGTGGACAAAAATGGCTCATGCATCAGAAAAGTCTAAGGAAAAGTAGAGTGGTGCAAACAAGCAGACATGACAGAACCAGGCAAATCAAATCCAAATTCAGCATTGGTGGGCACAATGTCATTTAAACAGCACCACTCACAACACTACGCACCACTCGTAGGCTTGCACTAAAGCACAGCTGTAGGCCAGACACCAGCAGTCTATTTAAAAATCATAGCATGAGGTATAAAACACTTGGCTTGTGAACGCACACTCACACCACTTTTACTGTTTGCAGGTTCGCTTTCCCTCCCACTTCAGCTCAGACCTGAAGGATCTGTTGAGAAATTTGCTGCAGGTGGACCTGACCAAGCGCTTTGGCAACCTCAGGAATGGAGTCAATGATATCAAGGGCCACAAGTGGTTTGCCACCACTGATTGGATTGCCATTTACCAGAGGAAGGTGAGAGGCAAGCCTTCATAAAGCAGTAATATGTACAAATAGAGTCCACTTCCCATTTTGAAATGGAAAGGACAAAAGAAAAGTGATGCTGACAAAGGAGGATGGCTTAAATGAGACTTTGGTCAGTGGGAGTGCCTTTAGTCTACATCTGTGGCTATGGGCAATTTCACACCATCTGTGCTTCCTCCTCACAGATGATGTCACATTAGAGGCTAATGGAAAAATGTCGAACAAAACGCACAAAACATGTATTTGACTCCATTTTTCTCACAGAAGCTGGTGGATTCAGTAGGATTACAGCAGTGCCTAAGCAATATTTAAAAAACCGAAGTGGACCAGAAGTAGAACTAAGTCCTCCCTCATCTGACACTACAGTATGAACACAAACAGAGCCCCATTTTTTTTCCCCACATGAACTCACGTTTATTTGTATTAAGGTACAGCTGTGAAAGGGTTTCACAAAGTTCACTGAATAAAAAACATACATTGAGAAAAGAACTGCTGCACAGAGAGGGATCCCCCTACCACAGCAGTCAGGCTCATAATGAGTGCTGACAGTGTGTAAACAAAGGTTAAATTTTAATAAGAGAGACTTCAAGCACAATACACAGAATAAACACTATTAGAGCATGTAATTCAAAAAACAACAAAACACATATTCCTTTTTTTTTTTTTTTGTCTTGATTTATTTCAACAGAAACTCCCTTGAGCCCTTCGTTTTGGTATCAATAATACTTTTCTGTCTACGCATGATGCAAATGAATTCAGAGAGTTAGTTTTTTTTTCTGGCAGTTCTTGAAATTCATTTTGAGAAATTAGAATTAGAAACAGATAGATAGAGAAATAGAAATAGAAGACTTGGCTTCAGGAAAAGCAAATGACAACATGTGATCACAAGAAATTAGTCTTGCACTGTGACCACAGACAAAGAATTCAAGCATGATTTTTAGATTGTATAACACATTTTACTCCCAGTTTAATCATCTTAACTTGCTTTGTACAACTATAAATGAATATAAATCTGTTTTTAATCAGGTCTATCTCCTGGGACACTATTCCAATGTCATCCAGTAGTTTATGCAGCATGCTGTGCCTTTGGTTCTCTCTATTAGACTACACTGCATCATTCTAGTGATTTGATTGTCCTGTGTTTTCCAGGTGGAAGCTCCCTTTATTCCTAAGTGCAAAGGCCCGGGTGACACGAGCAACTTTGATGACTACGAGGAAGAGGAAATCAGAGTCTCCTTCACAGAGAAGTGTGCAAAGGAGTTTGCTGAGTTCTAGATTCCAACCATGAGTAGCGAAGAGAGAAAGAAAGAGAGTGACAGGGATTTAGAAAGTTAAAGGGGGTCTGAAGACAGGAAGCGCTAGGGTGGACTGCTAAGTTGCTTATTTGTAATGACGACAACAATGTAAAATCCCCCCAGTGGAAAGGTAGGCAAAGTGAAGAAAGATCCAACAGAACCAGCAGTGTTGCCTTTTCTGATTGTTTCTCAACTGTTACCTATTCATTTTATTTATCCCTCTTGTGTTTGTGGCCGGGGCTCGAGGAGAACAGGCCTAGATTGTGGCTGTTCAGCTAGACTTGTATCTTTCTGATGGTGTAATGACACGTTTTCAGTCTCTGCAGGTTGAGGCATTGATTTTCTGTTAAGGTACCGAATCCTCTAGGCTCCTTTTTTTTTTTTTTTTTTCTTTTTTTTTTTTTTGGAACAGGCCCTCTCTACAAGCTTCTCAAAGAGTGATTGTTGTATCTTGTCACCCTGGTTCCCCCTCCATGTCTCCATCATGAATCTGTCCAAGCAATACCAAGTCCAACAGATGTGCCTATCATAATGCCAACTGGTTGGAAAACTGTGTTGAAACTGGTGCAGAGCTTTGGCTGTGGTGGCATCGGCCCTTGTGACCGTTTTTGGTTAAAAGCTTGAAAACTCTCTGCGCCTGCCTTTGTCTGCTCAGTGTGGCATGATTATTGGGTAGATGACGCGCTCACTGCCTGCAGTTGAAGCAGTGGTGACTTCTTTGATCAGAGTGAAAATGATTTATCACAGTAAACTTCATCTAGGTCTTACTGCTTTTGGGGACCTGTAAGAAATGGTAACCATGAGGTCTGCATTTAAGTCTGTCTTTTCTCTTAGCTGAATTTATTAGAGCATTTTAAAAAAAAAAAAATCCTATTGGTGATCATTTTGTCCTTTTATGTCAATCTCTGTGCTTGTGTGTTATTTAGTGCTCAAGGGTGGGTTAAAAAGCTGTGATTTAGCAGCAACTAACATTGTGGTCACACTCCTGATTATTGTTTATTTAATTCATAGTACATTTATACATGTATATTGATATATATATATGATAGAGAACATGAAATATCCATCTTTTTAAACATTGTCTCATAGCTGTGAAACTGAATTAAGATTTCATAAATAAAACAAATATAAATTCTGCCAAATTTGCAAACTGAGAACACTGCAAAGTTTTCTGTATGTAACTATGGTGGTTGGTTTTTAATACGCAAAAAAGTAGCAAAATGTTTCAGCAAAATGTGCATGTTATTTTTGTACAATATCACTTTTAAAGATGGCAGAGCATTAATGCTTTATTTGTGCTGAGGTACCTGAGATCATGGATAACATGCTTAACTATTTAAATGGACTCGGCTGCTCTATTTTGAAGATGGAACAAGACCCAGATAAATGTCAAAAAGCTCTTCTGGCCTTTGTTTATTATTCAGCTGTAGGGCAACAGTTTGCTGATAATTGTCACTGAATTTCTCACCTTGATAATTGTTTTTTTTTCCCCCTCCTCCCTTCTCTTGTATATACCTTACATTTAACACCTTCACATAGATTTGCAGTCCAACCAAATTTTTGGGACTGTTGAGATTGGAATGTTTTGTTTTCCGTTTTCCAGCTTTCTATGTAACAAATTAAACTAAGGAAGCGATCCTAAAGCTGTCCCCCTTTGCCAAGTTTATTTCTGTGGATGCAAGACAATCACAGACCAAATCTTATTGCTGGTTTGTTGACTGAACACGTTTTGGTTTGATGAAGGATGTTTGCTTTCACCCGCCCCCATTCCCCCTTCCTCCACCCTCCATCAGGCCCTAGGTGCTAGACTTTGTCCATCTCACTGAAAAGCTTCTGTGAATTGTTTGATGTGCATCAATCTATTTGTCAAGTCCTGTAACATGACATTTTTGAGAATGTTTTTCGACTCTAAATGATTTCAGTAGGCTTGAGTAATTATTTTGGGAGTCTCTTAATGTAATTGAGGTCAAACGCAGGATACCTTTTTTGAATGTCTTGAATTGTCTGATGGAGATGTTTCAATGCTGTTTGGAAACATGATGTGGTTCTTTTATAATACGTGTTTCTCTGGTGAGCTTGGTTTTTCTTGCATGTGGTAAAGCAACCCAGCAGCAAGACAACCCCTGGACCTGAGACATGTTTGAGAAACTGCAGTTTCTACAGCCGACAGCCTCATCACCATTTAACCTTTGATTCGTGAGCATCACAATGCAGTGGATCGCCAAACAACTTGTCCAGTCTTTTGCAAATAGTGAAGCACATGCCACACCTTTTTCAAATGTCCTATTTAATTGATTTGTGCAAGACACTATGTAACGCTTTGAAGAGAGCACATGTAATATCTTTGATCTTTATGTTCTGACAAATGACTAAATCAGAGTTGGTGGGTAGAAGGCAATGCCACTCAATCCACTACAGACACTAAGGCCATCACAATGCTTTTTTTTGTTTTTGTTTTTGCTTCCCATACAAAACTTCTTGTCAATTGTCTTTAATTCTTTTCTATCAGCTAAACACTATCAACTGATCTGTGCTCGTTTTGAGTTTTTCTCCTGTGTTTGCCTTCTATTTTCATCAAGTTTTCACACACTCTTCATTCAGACATAACACTTTTTACATCTGAGATGTTTTGCGTTCATATTTTCTAATTGTATTTTCAAAAAAAAGGAAAAAAAAAAAAGCAAAAACAGAACATTAATCTTTTCCTCATGACCTGGGTACAGTGATTGTGTAGTCTATTGTACCTTTTGGGAAACAATACTGTATATCCTTGCCTTTGACAGTCTTAACTATCTTACCCTCTGGAGAACTTGACAGATACCCTTAGAACACAATGAGTATGTTAAAAAAAAATATACATAAAGTAATATTTTGCAAAATGTATCATTCCAATAAAGTTTTACTTGTTAAGACTAATATGTCTGGGTTATATATAAACTCCCATTTCACCTTGCATGATGTCACACTCAGCTAAATTAGGTTAACCACATTTAAAAAAAAAAAAATGTTTTTTACAACATACAAATCTGAGGGAAGATATTTGCAGCTTCAGGCTGCTCTCATGGCGGATCAGAGGAGCAAAAATTGTTGGTAGGTGTTATATTCACTGTCCTGATTGTTATTGTGAATGTTTTAAGAGGCTGGCAGGTGCAATTGAATAATGCAGTGTTATGTTCATCCTGTCACAGTACGGGATCAATTACCCAGCCAGCTTTTCAGCACCCCTCTCCAAATGTATCTACACCCTCAGAGCACTCTTTTTTGAGGATTGCATCTATCTGCATCACTTATATGTGAAGGGCCTAGAGAGGCTTCCAGATGGTTTGAAAGCAATTAAGATAAAGTAAAAGACCACGTAATGAATAAACCCATTAAAGTATTAAATGTTATGAAGTAATTCATTAATCGATAATTGGAAAATAAATGAGACACATTTGGACACAAAAGGCTACAAATGAGTAAATAAACCCAATAAAGATGTAATAAAATGTATGTATTTTAAAAACACATTAAGAAAAATACTTTAAAGGTCCACTTGGTAATCTCCAGACTACATAAATTACAAATATGTTTACATAGTTGAAAAGCTGATTTATCAGTATAAACCTTTATCTAAGTTTATCATAATTGACAATACACACCTATTTACTCTTGTGTTTACAAACATAAGTGAGGTAATCATACCATTAACAGCATCAGAAAACATCTGCATACAGTACAGCTGTATAGTGTTTGCCCCTGTATTTGGGATCTCAATTTAGGAATCACTGCAGGTTCCAATTCTGTGTTATGGAATTTAGTGGGACTAAGGAGATCTAACCCTAACCCGAACAACTGGATCACAGATTGTGCTTCCAATACAGTAAATTATATAATTCATGATTTAAAGAAGACTAGCTACAATTTTTAAAATGCACAACAAAAGAGGACATTTTTTCTACTGGATTCACTAAAGCAGTATTTTTCTCACCTGATAATCTATTGTCTATTATTAATACCTCTTTCACTTCTTCTTCTCGTAATGGGGCAGCAAATGGACTCAGATTCTTAAATTTGATTTTGCAACGCTACAAAATAATAGACCACGTGAATTAGCTTCAGTAACTTCATCAAAGGCTAAACCCAGTTGTTAGTATTATTTTCTAACTTTTTACGTAAAATGCCACCTTATACACTCATTAGGACGCACATGGGGCCGAGTGCGCGCGCATGTTCCCGTCCAGGACTGCCCATTCCACCTTAAAACCCTTCTCGAGTGAAACTTTTCGCTGTAATCCGTCGGTCCACCTTAAGCGCACACGCAAACGCAGGAGGCGTACAGCGAGGTTTCCGCTTCTCAGTTGGGCTCGGACCGCGGCTCACGAAAAACGCCGTGTGTAACGTGCAAGGTTGACGCACTAAGGTAAGAAAAAAGGAAAAAAAGAAAAAAAACAAGCGAACCAACCGAGCAAAAAAGATGTCTGAATCCAAGTACCGCGAGTGGATCCTGGACACTATCGACTCGCTGCGGTCGCGGAAAGCCCGGCCGGACTTGGAGAGGATTTGCCGAATGGTCCGGAGACGACACGGGTCCGAGCCCGACCGAACCTGCGCAGAACTGGAGAAACTGATACAGGAACAAACCGTGTTGAAAGTTAACTACAAGGGCTCTATATCATACCGAAACGCCGCCAAGGTTCAGCGGAGAAGCAGAAAAAAAGACGATGTAACGTTAACGACGGCTGCGAGAAGGAGCGCGGTGGAAGAAGCCAGTCATTCTGACTTAAGCAACGGGGACAGCGCTTTCGGTCCTGTGGACCAGGACGAGGAGGATTTGGAGGTATGTTGAGGTTGATGCGAGGAGACATGTTTAACGAGCTCACATCTCATTGTCATATCACGTCATAGCAAATTAACAGGTGGAGATATAAGCACGTTACGGGCTGTGTGTGGTTTGCAAAATAAACGTCTTTTTGTTTTGTGTCTGTACACGGGGAGTGGTGAGGGGAGTGATTTGCAAGTGCACCCAAAACTGCCGCAGACGGGGAGCGGCGGTTGGACCTCGCTCGAGCGCTGCCGAGGTGGAGAAGAAAAAAAACAGAAGGTGCGCGTGTACTCAGAGTGTGGCATATTTTACGTAGCCCCGGTTGAAAAGCACTTTAAACGGACGATGCAGACGAACAAGCAGAAGACAGGAAAAGTTGCACCGTCCTGTCCGTCCGCAACAGCCCGGTTGAGCCTCCATTATCAGCAGCAGAAAGCGCTTTTCAAGCCCCAAACTCGGCGTTGAGCGAAGGGGAGGAGGGAGGAGGGTGGGGGGAGGCTGTGTCAAGCTCACAAGAAACGAGTAGCCTGAGGCCGGAAGTTGAAGAGTTGCTTTCAAAAATAAGAGCGTCAAAATTCGCGTTCGCCAATGAAGGTTTTATTTTGAAAGCTGAGGGCGGAAACACGTGTTTTCATTCTCAGTTACTTGTCAATGTGGGAGTGGGTGAAGGAAAAAAAGTCTTAAACACCGCGGATGTAGGAGCCTGATGGGGGACGCTGGGACATTGTTGGGTTGTTGATTGTGTTTTTTTTCCTAGGAAGAACGAGCACAGCGATCCCAGGCAAAACAGCAAATGTACCTAGAACCATGCCCAGACACACACATATTTCGTCTGTCCGTGACGAGATGTCACCCCTTCCGTCTGGACTTTAAAATATGCACATCACTATGTTTTGTCCCGTAAAACAGCAAGAAAACCGATCATTATCAGTGCCAAAGTACTCATAATTAACGTATATGCAGTTCATGTGTGCAAACTCCGTCTATTTCTCGAGTGATGTACGATTGCCGACGCAGTGCATAAAGTCGAACCCCTAGATCCATTGTCGGACACGGTGCCAAGCCCGGTCACGTCTAATGCTTGGTGTTAGCTGTTGTTATGGCCTCTCTCGTCCCGTACAGCAATGGCATCCCTTCTCCGTGTGTATCAACTATTTGTTGACAGTATTTTAAGATGAACCACACCACTGCAAAGTAATGAAATACAGGAGCCAGTAACAATGTGTGAGACCTGAAGTAACGTAAAGCGACCGCAAACTGTTCGTCCAGCTCTAGATGGCGGATGCGCCTGTCCGATTTGGGTTAAGCTGAGATCAAATTGACTTTGTTCCCTGAAAGGCGTGTGTGTCGCTACAAAACGGACGCCTGGTTACTTTGGACTGGCTGCTTCTCGGGGCTTGTTATCCAGGTTTTACCCGAATACGAGGGTCAAATGTAGACAGTGACGTGTCCGATAACGGACTCATTTGCGTTACTCTTTCTGTTCCGTCGCTTTTACAGTAAATCGTTGACCCGGTGCAAAGTCAAAGTAGACTATAATCGAAGCGGCTGGTGCTCGCTGTGATCGGAGTGCTGCGTTGATCTTCCTGTCGAGTTAAAGCTCGTTTTTTTTTTTTTGGTATCTCCGATCTGCTTTACCGCGGCTCGGCCCCGGGAAGCGCTCCGGTAAAGACCACAGACACAATGGCGAGGTCTTTACCGCGGCTCCCCAACTCCATGCGCACTTTGGAGGAAATTTGAGAAAAACCAAAAAAAAAAACGCCTCCCATCGGCCCTGTGCTCCCGTGTGTTACAATGATCAGTCATAAGGCCTGTAAAGACGGGGACGCACCGAGCATATCGGCTGTGTTTGTGAACCGAGATGAGAATCATGCTGGATTGAGATCCTCGGCGGCATCGTGTTTTTGTGACCGTGTCTCGGTGAAAGTTATGTGAAATGCAGTGCGATGGGGTGAATGCCATACAAGCGGCTCCTCTCACAGGAGCGGGGCGGGCTTTAGTGCGCTCTTGTGCTCGACTGCTGGGTCTTGGACACGCAGTCGCACACAAGGTAATTTTTCACTCAGGGCGCCGTCGACAACCCCCCCCCCCCCCCCCAACAAAGGAATGAGTGCGTACGTAAAAACTAGTTGTATGCAGTCACATAACGTTATACAGCATGTGTTCAATTCTGTGGAGACACATTTGAGGTGGCAGGGCTCAGACTGTCTGCGGAGAATACACACTGCACCGCGGAAAGGGACGGAGGCATCCAAAGGCAATAATTTACCACCATAGCGGTCAAATTGCGACATCTGTACGAGCGTGTTTTCATGTGACACGTTCAGCCTACAATTAGTACTCAGTTATGACAACAACCCCTAATACCCTTTCAGGGTGTACCGGCTTTTTAAGTTTCTGTTAGATTATGAACTTCATTGTTATAAAGGCTTTTCTTCCACTGAATTAAATGTTTCTTATTCATTTCTTCACTGAAGCTTAACTCTCCACTGATCCAAGCAAAGATAAAGACATACTTGATCTATGCTTGTTTAATTCTGTACCCACCTGAGATGATTTAAAATGTCATATCATGTAAAAATTTCATATAATGTAGATTACAATAAAAAAAATACATTAGGATAAAATTATATGTTGCACCTATGTTTATGTTTTGTAGGCTGACACCTCTATGGCAATGGACACAGACAGTAATGCAGATGAGGAGGGGGCTGATGAGAGCCGGGATGGGCAGGACGGGCCCTCTCCTGGCCGCACGTATGAAGATGCCGTGGTGCACTGTGCCTCTGTGCGAGCCGCCTCTGCCCCCTGCTCTCCCTCTGGCACTCGGCCTGGCCCCGGCCCTGGCTGCAGCCCTGGCTCGGGGCTGGACTGTGTCTCTTTCCAGAAGGCTGGTGAGAGGCCCAGCTCCTTGCCCCCCTCCAGCCCCAGGGCCCTCGCACACAATGACTGGGCTTATGATTCTGCTGTCTGCCCAGCGGAGCGCCAGCACCCAGGAATGCAGAGAGACAAAGGTATTCACACTGCTAGACACAGTGTAATATGCATACCCGGCATTATGAAGCACTCTAATATTGTTTTATGTGCATGCTTTATGCTTAGTTTTTCCACGGGATATGAGATGGGGATGGAAGCTTTTAACCAACTAGATAATTATTTGTGAGGTGACATAGTTGTTGACAGCAGAAATGCCTTATCTAATGTAAGGTAGACACAGAGTTGTTGGAGAAAATAATGCAGAAAATAATGCATTTCCATTGGCTTGTTTGTGCCAGTTATTGAGGTTTAGTGAAAAATGTCAAAAACGTGTAAGAACTGTCAGTTGAATTAGTTATTAATTATTAAACTAATCATTTAGGTGAATTTAAACTAAATAAGTCAATATGGATGAGATCAATGTGTGATTTAAATGGTTCACTCTGTTAGCAGCAGCCACGAAGCCAGCAATCAACTCTACCACCACCAGCCCCTGTGCTTTAAAGAACAACGTGAAGAAAGAAGATGGAGGCAAGGTGGAGGATAGCAGCCTTTCGTCTGACCAGTTGGTACCAGACTATGCAGCACGAATGGTAATTGGCCTGTTTTTCCTTTGTGACAAACAACACCACCTGTATGCCTCCCGCTTTGATCTCTCTGCTTTCTACCTGACATTTTCATGTTTCATTTGTTGTTGTTGTTTTGTTTCCGTATCAGGATGAGACCAGGAGTGTAACCGATGGAAGACCACAGACAATGTCTCTGCCACCTGACAACTGTGAGTTACATAGTTTCCCATTTATAAAGATGCTGTGTAGTCTCCAGTTGTTTTGCAGAAAACGGGTCACTCCACTTCTATCTCATTTTGGAAAATGGTTTCTAATAAAATACACACATGTTAAGGGCATTACCTGCTGATCGCTTATGTTTCAAAGACCATCCTGGTTATTATTTGGCCTCTAGCACTAGGGCTGCCTGGAGGCTCACTCACAATTTTTTGAATGCTTCACAAGCTTGTACCGCTGCCGTCCATCCAGGTGGTTCTCACTTTGACTGTTAAAAGTCGTCACTCTGAACATGCTGCCCTTGTGCAATACTGCACCATTAAAGGTAGTGGTGTGTAGGGGTGGAAATCTGCAGACTTGATACAGTTTGATTCTGTCTTGAAGCTGATGCATCTTGATGTCCAGTCAAGAAGAATCACTACATGATCATATGACAAACACAAAGCTACAGAGGGTTTCTAAATCTATCTGTTTAAATGCTTTTAGAGCTGTTTGGTTGATAATATGTATGTTTACATATGGTTCTTAATAATTCTGAACTGCTCTATTTATATTTGACATATATTTTATGTATATGTTTGCCGATAAGCAAGACAACATAAAACTTTCAGATTTTTCTACTGACTTGATGAAAATTTGCTAGAGGTAAAGTTCCCATCCACCACCTCAGATATAAGGTTTGATACCCAGTAAGTTTCGTCTAGCTTGTTTGTATTTAACAATGAGCACAATTTGTTGTTTGTGTAGTCGGATGCTTACAGAGTTTGTTTCTTTGTTGAAAATCTGAAATTTGACATGCTAGCTTTTAATGCAAGAGAAGTGGTTATAGATTTTTCCTCCTTAGTGAGAGGTTAACAAGAGACTTCCAAGGAAATGACAAATGCAGCGCAACAGAAAGGAACAACACCAACATATTTTTACCACTGCACAGGTACCATGTCACTGTGTGCTTTACCTGTGCTGGGCCTGGATGTAGTTTGACTAGGATTAGTATCCATGTAAAAAATTGTGGCTTCATGCTTGTCATGCATCACATGCATGAGAACAGCCCTGGCAGCATCCTGTGAAAGTGGGCTGGTATAGTAAGGGTGCTGTATTAATACTCAGCCACTGTACCCTCACTGTTCTGAACCGTGAACAGTCTAATAGAAAAACATAGTGTGCCGTGACAGTAGAGGTCTCAGTGTGGCATATTAGTACCACGGGAAAAGCATCATTTCCATTTTGTCAGAACTCTGCTCCCATTTGTTTAACATCACACCAGTGAATGTCAAGGAACCGAAGCTGCTTATTTAAAACCCCAGAATTTCTTTTTAATTTAATTTAATTTTTATCTAATTTATTTTGCACATTGAATTGGCAAACAATAGAGCACAGTTGTCATATTAACCCTCCTCTTTCTCTCTAATAGTGCGTCTTTTGAACTGAGCTCCCTTTTAATTACACATTTGAGTAGGTCAGGTTTTATGAATGATGTGGGGCCTCAAGATAGACATGTGGCTGTGGCTGGTCATTGCATGTGTCATGTTGATATGACAAGAAATACAAATGGATGGAATTTGCTGTGAAAAGTAACAAGTGCAGAGGTCTCTGACGCCAAGAAAATAGTAATGTCCCCTATATATACTATATATACTGTAATACTGATGTGTTTCTCTTACATTTTGTCAAACCGTAATACAAAGTGAAATTGACTCTGTATTGTGATCATTAAAGAAATACAGTCAGTAATTAAGGTTTCTCCCGGAGCATGTCCTAATTTCCATTAAATGCAGTCCTCTATTGTTGTAAAATGTGCTCATCATTTATAATATTTCATTTTTTTCCATTTTGATTACAGGTACATTTAAAAAGAAGATAGATATATTGCCTTTTACAACAGCTGAAGACGGTCTTCTGAATGGTGGTAAAGGTGATGAAGTGTGAGTATCTTGTTATTAAACAAGTCTTTACATTCTCCACTGAGATGCATTTTAGAAATTCATCAGTCATGTCCCCCGCCTCCACACTTTTTGTCACCTGATCTTCATCCAGCTCTGTGAAGAAGGAGAAGATGAGCCAGAACTTGTTGCAGTGGACTGTGGCAGATGTGGCCAGTTACTTCTCAGCTGCAGGCTTTCCAGAGCAGGCCATGGCGTTTCGAACACAGGTTAGTGCACCACCACAAGCTGCCACAGAGGGCGCTACATGTCTGCTGAAAACCAAACATCCCATCACCCAATGCATTTTTTAGAGGCAGTTTATACATAGTGTGTTGCATTGCCTAAAAGAAGTGTGTGTTGTGACCAGTACCAGTTTATTTGTGCACATTGAGCCGCATGGTAAAGGCTGCAAGAAAAGAAAACTGGCTGTCTTGAGAGTGATTGGGAAAATACACTTTTCTCAAGATGACTGTAGGGGTTCAGTAGCTAATATCATTTTTAACACTGAGTCCTGATGGCTCCTAAAATATTAGTCAAATACATTTAGCATTCAGCACCCCCCTTTAGAAACCCAAGGGTGACATTAACTGAGAAAAATGTTTTTTTTCTCTCACCAACAGGAAATTGATGGGAAATCCCTTCTCCTGATGCAGCGCAGTGATGTGTTGACTGGTTTGTCCATTCGACTCGGCCCTGCCCTCAAAATCTACGAGCGCCATGTAAAGGTCCTGCAGAGGACCCACTTCCTGGAATACGAAGACCTCTGAAGTGGTGATTCACATGGCAGAAAATGCTGCATTGACCCAAACATGCATGCAGTGCCCTCTCCCATCCGGATCCTGCCACCCACCTTCATATACAGCATATGTAGAGGGTGAGTGGAGGGGGAAATGCTGCGGTGGAATGAACTTTCACTGTGAGAATGACCAGAAACTGAAAGACAGTCATCCTACCTCTCATTACGGTCTTTGGTTTTTAAATAATTGTCATTTTGCCCATGTGACCACATAGTGAAGGGAAGAGACTGCTACGATCAGAGTGTGTTGTAAAGTGGAGGAGCAGTGACCTCTCTGCAATAGTAAAAAAATGGGTAATGCAGCCAGGGAAGAGGACTCAACCTTGCACCAAGTGCACCACCTATGGGCTACTATACTCATACAGACCAGACTGCATAGTGCTGTAGCAAAGTGTTGTCACAGTTTTGGGTCCACAAGAAAATGTTGGTTTGTTGCGGTTTTGAAATTTCTCCCAGTGTCCTCCCTCTACCTACCACAGTACCTTCTGTCAGTCCAGAAACAGTTTGTAACTCACACAGATCAACACAAAGCACAGGTGCTGTGCACTTTTCTTTACTCATATGATGGGTTGATGTAAATGTCATCAAAGTGCTGGGGAAGTCAGACTATCTACATATCTGCATCAAAAGTCAACAGAGTCTGATTCCTGACTTATCATGTCACCAATAGCTGCTGATGTTGGATTACGTCTTCAGTGTCTCTGTAACACTGAGATATAACCAATATGATATACTACTACTTGCTGGCAAGGCAATATGATGTGTGTTGTTTTTTTTTTTTGTTTTATCTTGTTTAGAAATGACTGTGGTCCAACTTAATACAGTTGCATTCTGGGGAACAATTTCACAACAACGTGACCAGAAAATTTGCAGCCTAATGGAATTTGCTTTTATACATAAGCAAAGTAAAGTAATGAACTTGTGGGGAATGTTATTGTGATACTGAATATATTGTTTTACATTCAATCCAGCTGCTCAGTGCCTGTTTACAGAGCAGATATGTTGATCAAATGCAATATTTTATGTTCTCATCCATTTATAATTTTGTCGTGTTTCTCTGTGTTATGATCTAAGCCAGCCACTTGAATTGTAACATTCCATATGATGTAGTCTACATCTGCAATGTATCTCCTCCCCTTTTTATCTGTAACACTGACACTTCTTCCAGAGTCACAAATAAAGTTCGTGTCGCTCTGTTCAGTCACTGGTTTTGTGATACAGTTTATTATCTTTGTATCAGCAGTTAAACCTAAAAGCAATTGTTTCAACATGACGGTTTCTGGTGGCCCTTTCAGTCTCAATTAAATATCGTAAAC